GATTCGCTGCTTACATTTTGCTTTTTATTCTGTTACAAAATTGAACAGAATGTTGGCAAGCAAACAGAATAATGTGCATTAAACACAAGCATTGAAACTAATAAAGTCTTGAAACATTTTTGCGCCTGCATCTATGTTTTAATATCTTACGTGCGAATGTAATATGAGATGTTGACAGAAACAAATGATTAATATTTTATCTCTAAAAGGGTTTAATTAATGTTAAGGCTAAGCTTAAGCCCAGATTTCCGGAGTTGGGTTTTCGAATCGCAAGAAAATCGAAAAGAAAAAAAAAACGCTAAGCGTGATCACATCACTAACAACATTTCTAAGAAATCTTTATTTAGATTGGACTTTGATCCCTTTCGGTCCTAAGTGAGCAATCGATTCTTTTATTTGCCAGCTCGTCAGACTTGTCAATTGACCTGAATGTCTCCATTAAATTGGCGACTGGGGAGCTGCTGCTTCATCTCAACTTTTCCACTTGCTGTCCGATTCTGCACTTTGATTTCAACGCCAACAGTCATCGGCTGCAGTTAAAAAGTGAAGAAGTGAAGAAAGCAACCTCGTCATGGTGATCATCATCCGCCTTCTGGATCTTCATGATCTCCGCGGCGATCGAGAGTCTTTTCAAGTTCATTAACATGACACGGTCCCGTCAGAACCGATTCGGATTCGGATTCCCCCTCCGAGTGCCGTTCCTGAACTTGAAAAGTGCACTTCCCCCACGCCGCGCCACGCCCCCTTTTGGGGGAAGGCCCTTTGTTGGGACAACATGTTGTTTGTATTAAGCACTGTATATATAGAGTGTTGATGTCAATTCTTGTGGCCCGACCAGATTGATACTCACATTTAGTGACAGCTTCTTCATGACGAGCGGCTTGTGTCTTGTGTGTTTCTGTTTCTGTTTGTTGCTTGCTCCCTTTTCCGAGAGAAAGAGGTCGTTTGTTTGGGTTTCTAATTATTGTATAATGTCGAAACAAAATGTTTGCTTAAGTACTTTTTTGCTGTTTAAGTACTGGTTGTAACACAGTTTGGTTTTATTGTTTGCCGAACTCGGGCTCCTAGCTCGTAAGTAAGTAAGTTGTTTGGCCGCAGATGCTTGCGTTTAATTGTGGATTATCTAAAATTGAAACAAATACGTTAGCTCTGCTTTTCCCACGAACTCGGTTGCGTTTTCCTTGATTGACAGCGTGTATTTCGAATTTAATCACTCTTTCTTATGCAATTTGGATTACTGATCGGCTTAAGCAAAAGATTGACAGCAATCACCGATTAAAGCGTCGCGGCTTGACGTCTAAATTTGCCTTTGGAATATTTTCTGTTGGTTTTTTTTTTTTTGCGTTCGTATTCCTTACAAGTCCATATGTGTAAAACGCTTGATCGCTGATTGTCATTTATTGTTATTAATGCTGCTGCTGCCGCTGCCGTTGATTAAAATCATTTATATGCATTGGAGATGAACGGGTTGCCGCTGCAGCAGCAGCAGCAGAAGCAGCAGCAGAAGCAGCAGCAGAAGCAAAAGCAAAAGCAGCAGGGCCCAGTTGCTACTGCTTTGCTGATGTTGATTTATTTAGCCGGTCCGATCGCTTCGCTGGCTGCATTTAAAATGTCGGAAGTGTTTGCACGCAAAAAATAAATACAGCCACATACAAAACACACATCATACGAAAATGTGTGTGTTCCTCGGCAGCATAAAATATATATTTCCTGTTGCACACGCACTATTAAACTGGCGGCAGCGATAGACGCCGGTTAAATGCGATTTAATGCGAGATTTCGAGGAAATAACGACCGAGTCAGCCAAGTCAGCCAAGCCAGCAGGGTCTTAAATTCCCTTCCCGAATTCCCAACTCCAAGTCCCTAGGGACTGCATGGGTGTGGGTCCACTTATGACATCATCGCCGGATCAATATCGGTCGAATATCAACGAAAGTTGTTCTGGTCGCTTGACAACACCGCACACCGCACACCATACACCACACACACAGAATGAAGTGGAACAAAAGGCTGGCTGGCCAACATGAGGCGAAGCAGTAACCAAAAGAAACTCAGATTGCTGCTGCCGCTGCCGCTGCAAGGTGGCAACATCGTGCGAAAAGGGCAGCGAGCCAGTGGTGATATGATGGCCATAACCAGCAGGTAGTTTCGGCTACCCGCATCCCAGCCCTCTGGCAATTCGGTCAACTGAGGCAGTCGGAGATTACGGATAACAGATCCGAGACACAATTGGTATTTGGCTTTGGACATTGGGGGATTGGTCAATAGCAGAGCCACCTCTGCATTTACAAACGCATTAAGCTTATAATTGTTATTTAATGTTTTCCCCTTTTTGTTTTCTTTGGCCCCAGTACTTTTCCACATTCGATCGGGATTTGTGCCATTTGTGATTTTTATTTTCGCTTTATTTCGCTTGATGTTAATTGCTGCCAATCTTGAAAGCTGCTCCAAGTTCGAGTTGTATTTTTTGTTTATAATTAAACGTTTAACGTTTATTACATTTTCGTAATTCTGTTTGTTGTGTTTTTCGGCGGGGGAAACTTTGCGATTCGTTCGATTTTCAGTGCTGGGCACCGACCGGCACGATAATTTCGGGGTTGCAGGTTGTGGGTTGCGATTATGCAGCGGGTTGCAGGTGACCTTTCTGGCGGTTTTCCTGACCTTTTCACTCGCGTTTTCTGGGCAAAAACACTTGTTGGTTATATCTTTTTCGCGAGCACACACTCTTTTCTTTACATTCGATATGGAAACAGAATACCGAACCGAAGCGAAACCGGAGTATCTCAATCTCAACTTGCTTGCGATGCTTACTTGTTGCTTTGCGTTTAAGGACTACGTCGCCACTCGGCGGTAACATTGTATTTTAAGTGAGCGGACCGCGCGCAGTCGGCTTCGACGTCGGCGGCGACAGCACTGTTGGCAGCACTCTCGCAGCGCCCGATACTGTATCTGTATCTGTATCTGTATCTGAATCCGTATCTGTGTGTGTGCTGCTCTTGGACGATCCAAGTGGTTGCAGCAACATGTTGCCGCAATACGGCGATCTCATAGATACATCTCTGCAGCAATCCCTCTCTCTTTTCTCGCGCCTCTCTCTCTCTCTTTTCAAGCCACTTGTTGCCGCCGGTATAACTGTTCTTGCGGCCGTAGGGCTTCCCCTATGCATTCACACCTATATTGTACCTAATTGCCAATCAATGCAATTATCTATGGCGGTAATTGCAGAGCAATCTCTATTGTTTTGCGCGAGAACGGGAAAACTTCGGTCAGAAATCTGAGGGGAACGATGACGATGCTTTTTCCAGCCACAAGCCGGAACTTCAGCCATTCGAGCATAGTTTAAAACAGTCCTGTGAGTTATCAAAACCTTATGAAACAAAACGTTTTTTTTTTCGTTTTTAATTACTCGAATTAAAGAAAATTAATCATGCAATCGTACCGTTTTACCCCGCTGGACATTCCCAGTCCCACAATTGTTGTTATTAAATAGAACCAATTTTGGTTACTGCCGTATCGGGTGGGATATCGCCGCTCAATTAGCATAATATGAATCAAGGTTTAGGGTCAGAGGATTCCGGGGCATTTAACAAGTTACGTTTTAATTCTGAATGACTCAATTCCTCCTAATCTGGAGGAAGTAATTCCAACAAATGGAAAAATACCGATCGATGGAAAATATTATTCAACATTGCTTTGTGACAGTCTACACTTTAATCTCACAAAACTAGATCTTTTCGCTTAAATTATGATGGTAATTCTCAATAAAGTAACGTCATAATAAAAGCAGATTAACGGGTTTACGATTAATTCTGAAGCGCAATACGGCATTGGTAGAATTACTTAACTGTAAATAGAGTCCTACGTAATGAAAAGAGGGGCTTACCACGCACCCGAGGAGTATGCAATACAAAATATAAATCAAAAAGATTCTATCAAAAACATTTACAAGAAAGATGAACAAGAGAAAAACAAACAAATGTATAAAGCAATTAGTTTGTTAAATGCCAATGGTTCTACCTAATCAAATAATTAAATTTTACAATTGAATAAAACGAATTCCACGGATATGAAGACAAATTTGATGACCAGATTAAAGAGTTTCCCACACGCAAAAGCTGATGAGAGTTATCATAAAAGCTGTGACATAGCGACACTTAACATGTACGCTCAAACGAACATAATGGGGCACCCATTACAGATTTAAGTAACGGAACCGGAAATTGCCTCAAGAGAATCTTGACTTGTGAATATGTGTATAGCCCCTCGCTTGGATTAACTGACTTTAACTTACGCACCAAAATCATGATAAGTTAAAGTGTATATATTTTTCCCGAAAGCTTCGCACACTCGAACTACTGACCTTGTAACAATTTCTTTTTACACGAATTTGTGCCCCTCATTTAGGATCCGAATTTAGTCGGAAAAGTAATGCAGGGCCAGGGACAGGGTCGCGGCTATTTGCGTATTCACTGTACTTGCCTGCCCCAATGTTATTAACCTCCAAGTGGGCCAGACCCACGATCAAAAAGCTGAACAAAAGCTGAACTTGTAAAAAGGGTGTGACAATGCTAAATGCAAAAGCCAACAATCAACAAACGGACAACTTTGCAAATGTCGATTACTGTTCAGTGAACAAAAAACATAATACAAATCCGGAATGCATTCAAAAATCCTATTTTGAACTATAAGCTCTCAAAACAAAGCTAACTAAAACTTACTTTTTTGTGATACGAAGATCGCCAACTAAATCAAAACGATAACAAATAAGTCGAAAAATTTGTCCTTATTTTATATTATTATAAGGAAATTTAAAAAATAAACAAAAATATTTCGGTAAGTTAAAATGATATTTAAACATGTTCTCATAACCAAGTTTACATAACTGACCTAGCTTGGCTTAAATAATTACCATTTCTTTTTCATGTACGTTTAAATTAACGATAGCCACGATGTTTTTCCAAGTGTGTTGGAATGCAAAATGGTATTTTCGGTGGGCTTACCTTAGGCGCTTGTTTAAAGTTTGGTGAGCGGAGTTTTCTGTGGACTGGCCACCCAAACTTTCGGATGCTTATCGCTGATTCTGGTGGGTTTTGCGGGATCTCTCAATTTTCAGGGGGTTCGAGCACTGTTGTATTTGTGGGACACAAACGAGTTTGTTTACTTCCTTTTATTTTTAAGCGAACTTTTTTTTTTTTTTTTTTTTAGGCCCGCGGGAATTCTCTGGCACTTGAGTTTATCGCCATTTTGTGTGGATTTTGGTCAAGTCTTTGTGTTTGTTGGGTGTCCGCTGATAACGCGTCACAGGGGGCGTCATAAGGGGGCGTTCCCAGAGCGAACTTTTTGATTGCTGCTGCTTCCACTTCATTCGCTCCACTTACCGCCGCTCCCCCTTGACATTTCTTACGGTTCACACGCGACACTCTTTCGCTGCTTTCCACTCTCTCTGCGCTCCACTCTCACTCTCTTCCTCGCCCACGAATTCGTGCGTGGTGAAAGAGCAAAGCAAAACTGGCGATAATAGCAGCAATGAATGGGAATGAATGTGAATTGTCGCTTGTTTGTTTGTTTGTTTGCTTGTTTTGTTGCTGTTGTTGATTCGCTGCTGTTGCTGGCGGTAACTGATCTACACGCACTGAAAAGAGAGCATGCCCCACTCCCTCTATCTCTCTCCCTCCCTCCCTTTTAGTGACATTCAGTGCCAGGAGGAACTCGCACAGTCACACATACACACGCACCTTGGAGGTATCTTTGTATATATATTTCCACATAATTGACACTCCACATCAACTTTACAACTACACTGCGAACCTGCAACGCCAGCGCAATTCTCACGATCGCTCTGATTATTCATATAGACAGATTTGCGTATTTATTTAGCTCACATATATATTTTAGCTTAAAATATTTGCATATTGGCTGTAGCGCTGTATCTATAGCTTCAGCCAAGGCAACGGACGCGATCGCGAACGTAACACAAGGATTTTCCGGCGTAGCCAAAGGAGAGAAAAAGAAAACCCCAAACCGTATGAGAAACGAAAGCAGACTAACTGCAAACATTAAATGTCAAAATGCTGGGGACTGTTCTGCCATGCACACCATCGCACACACACAGTGACACTCACCCGACCACACGAAGATCGCGTGAGGGGGGACGAGGGTGGACAGAAAAGTTTAGCATAACGAATGACGTGCTTTTTTTTATTTTTGTTCTTCCTTATTTATAATTTTACTGCTTTAAGTTTATTATATTTAATTATATAACCAACGATTTTAAAGTATGTGCTATGGAATATTTTTTAAACGAAATGGTTTTTTGAAGAAAAGAGTGCAATCAGTATAAGTTCGTTGCAATAAGAAACATTTTTTATTTTGAATTATATTCGGATTGAAACATATCGTTGTCTACTTTTAGGCCCCTTCTTAAGATATCTCAAATATTTCAATTTTTTTCCGTTTTTTGAAGCTAAAAAACAATTAAAAAGGAACTGAAAGATCTCTCCTCGTTTAATATATGGAACGTTGGTTGCTCGAAAGAGCACGCATGTGCCAGCGGTCTGATTCGCTTTTCGTTTCGTTTTCGAGAGTTTGTGTGTCTGTGAGACAATGCGGCCCCAAATCTTGCCCACCCACCCCTCAGTATCACTACCACCTCGATCCAGCACGAGAACGGGGAGACAGCCGCCTCTAAGGGGTCTTTGGAACGAACAAAGGAAGTGGCTCGAGGGTGATAAGTCCACATGCATATCCATATTCCCAACCATTTCCAGCGGCGAGTCATGGTCGTTGTTTAACGGGTTACCGGGGTAATTGGCCCCCATTCGCCTGTATTCGGACTCGGATATCGACGCCACTGACTTTGGCTTACCGTGTCACACACGCACACATGCGCACGTTCAATTGAAATTGAAGCACTGTAAGTCGGTCTCTCGCAAGGAAAATGTGAGCATAAGCCGCTCTCTACATATATGTGGAAAAGCCACTCCTCCCATCCACACCAACACACTTTATTGGAAAGTTTAGAAGAATCGCAGGGAAGTTGGAGTGGCCTGGAAGCGCAATGTAAGGCGTGTGTAAAAAGTTTGCGTCGCAAATTATTGACCATTTCCGCTGTGTCCCACTGTCCCTCCGTCTGACTTTCCGTTCGGCTATCACTCCGTCCGTTTTTCCAGCACCCGCGCATACTATTGAGTGCGACTAAGCATACAGAGCAACATCTAAAACTCGTATTTTCCCTTAAGTTTGCAAAATAAATTTTTTGAGAACAAAATTTATTTCTAGGCATTCCGATATAAAATTTTAAGCTGTAATTAACGATAAATTAAAATTCTCACTTATTTAGATACCATTTTAAAAGCCAATATTTAAGCACCATTTCACTGAGCTTTGGTTTTAAAATCGTTTGGCAATTCTTTCCTTCCCCCAAAAGTCAAGCCTGACTTATGGAAGTTTGACTGTACATGTAGCTGCGAATGAAAATCATTATGGGCATACAAAGTAGGCTTGCTCACAATTAAATTTACGATCGTTCGGCGCTCACGCTTTGCCCCCGGCTCGTATATCATACAGTTCTTATATATATTGCATATTTAAGTTTGCAGTTAGAAATATTACGTATACGTCAGCAGAGTGTCAACAAACTTGTAATGTGGCGCAAGCCACCAGGTGCGATCGGAGCATATAGAACGTGTGTCCCGGCCTGGAGATATGTGGCCGGACAAGGTTGTATAATGCCGCAGTCCCACAGCAATGAGAAATAAGAAACAGTGCACTCATGACTTGACTTTGACCGGTCGGTCAATTTAGCTGCAGTTGAGCGGGCTAATTGCCGCTTTTGAGAACTAAATGAGCGGCGCACACGCAAATGATAAAAATGGATTAAAACCACGGGCACTTGAGCGGCGAACACATTGTAGGGAAACGCCAGGCATAAGCTTCGGATTTCGAGATTCGAGAGATTCAAGATTCCCAACTCGCGACTCGGGACTCGGGCACTTTCTCAGAGCCTCCGCAAAGGTCAAAGCGAAAACGATCTGCAGATGTATCTCGGTTCGTGACTCTGACTCGTGATGGGCACTTAGGAAATCCAGATATAACCGATGCCATTTAGAGAGACGCGCCACAACATAAATAGCAATTCCAAACAATTTTCAATTGCCAAACGCCCGAGACGCGATGGCTTTTCCTCTCTCACCGCCAACGCCGCCAAACTAGTTTCCACTGTAATTGAAACTAGATCTATTTTTAGATCCCGTTCAGCCAGACGCCAGCTCAGAAAATATTGCCAAAGCCCCTCACAGCCGCCAACCGACCGCAAGCGATCAATCGATCGATGGGCTTATGTGTCTATTTCAACGGCTTTTAAGTCCCACTCGTATCAAGAGTGTGTAATAATTATTGGATAAGGTGGGAAATTGTTCTACTGAACGTGTTGGTAATCTCGAAAAAATGGAAAAAATTTACATGTTCAGCAAAATAGATTGTCTCAAGGTAAAAAAAGTTTATAAGATGTTGTAAAACAAGTTCTTTTTAAAAACTTAAACATCATTGTGTCCTTGTCTCAGATCTAATCCATCCTTTATGGCTTTCTCAGAGTTGCTCCCTCAAAACCTTTCCATGGCCCAAATGAATGTTTCTACTCACCATTTCGAGAGCCCTTTCGCTGGGTTGACGGATTAACGGAACAAGCAGACAAAATATTACCCGGCGAGACTAGCACAAAACTCTGTCGATGCCAAAATGTTTGCGAAACTTCTGGCCAAGTCGCTTTTATACGTCGCTCGCATCCAGCGGATGCAAGGGCTTGGGGTTGGTGGTGCAGCTTGGTGGAGAAGTGGTGCGGTGGGCCGGGGGGTGGTGCCGATGGTTTTGCATAATACGCGGTTAGTATTGGCTGATTACAAAGAGCCCCGAGACACAAAACGCAAGACAACTCAAACTCGTACAGAACTCAAACCGAACTCAAGCCAAGAAAAGCGTATAAATTATACGATTGTGGCCCCGCGAGAATGTCTGTTCTGGTCATATGATTATGATTACGTTGATTAAAACGCGCTCTTATCGCCACTTGGTCCGCTGCTGTGTGTTAATGTGCGTTGTCCCATGCCGAGTGCGTCCTCCTCCGCATCGCATCGTTCCCCATCCGCCCCGTGCGCCCACCCAGTTGCAATTGCTCATACGCCGCGTTGGCGACAGGACAAACAGATAACCAGTTGCTTCGCTAGTCCCGCCTTTCAATTTGCTCACAAAAGGACATCGTTAGGCGAACGGATGATGTACTCATTATGCACATCGATATGCGCTTATTGAGGGCTCAAGGTTGTGGGTCATGTTGATCCGGGGTGGAGGGGGAACCCTTTCACTTTTTGCCCTCCTTATCAGGAATATGTACAAAGAGCTAATATGTTTATAGATTTTAGCATAGGCCTATGCCATAAAGCATTAGCTGATAAAAACGTTATAACACTTTTTAAGCAATGAAATTTCAGATGAAGATAAAATTGACTTTCTGTTTTTTTTTTTTTCCTATTTAATTATATTTTACTTATTGTAATCATGTTCGCAGGAATAGTTATCTAAAACTTAAGTTTATTTTTTCCGTGATGTCCATGTCCATGTCCGTGGCCACCTCCGCCGCTTCCTCCGCCGACAACCACGGGCTTCACCACCACCACGGGCTTTACAATCACGGGTTTCACGAACACTGGCTTTGGCTTAACGAATTTGGAGGGCAGGGCTGAAAGTAGCTGACTCGGATCCTTCAGGAAAGCTGGTTTGGGGGGCAACTTGGCGAGCAGTTGACTGGGATCCAATACGGGTTTGGGCTTGGAAATCTTGGCCAGCAGTTGACTAGGATCCGAAAGAAAGGCGGGCTTTGGTGGCAGCTTGGCCAGAAGTTGACTGGGATCCGGAAGCGCGGGCTTGGCTTTCTGGATGGTCAGAGTGGCCTGTGCGCCACACAGGAAAACGCCGATGACCAGGATAAGCAGGCGACTCTTGAGCAGAACCATTGTGACTGAGCGGATCCAGTAAAGAAGGCATCTATTTATGCTGGATGATGCTCCCACATCCAGAGCTCATTGGTATGCACCACCTGCCCGTCTGATCTTGGCGAGCTTTTATTCAAATTTCTGGCGATCGAAACGATCGAAACTCTTCATACGGCAGGCGGCGGCATTCCCCGACTATAAGTTGAATTCACAATTACCGGCATAGCAGGGTTTTCCTTCTCGTAATTCTGCGCGACATTTATTCATGATCGATCTGATTTTGAGTTGGCATTCAGCCGGCGATTCGCGAGATTCAAATCAGACATGACATGACGTCTTTTTGTCCCGAGAATGAGCTGAAAAAAGTTGACATAATTTCTGAGCCGAATGCGGAAGTAGAAAGGTACAACGCCAAACTTGTTGGTGTCTATAAATAAAACATTGAAATAAGATTACCTAAATTATTACCTAATTATATTTCAACTGAAAGAAACTATTAAATTATAAACACATTACTTATTATCTGCAGACAAAAACATTTTTTTTGTTTTTTTCACAAAAATCGCCCAAAAGCAGCCAACGTTTTATAATTGAAAAACGCGCACTATCGATTACAACTATCGCATCTTGGCATCGGTAACAACCCTGTGTTATTTTCGCGTGTGTTTTTGTTAGCACGACTACCCTTGGAGAAAAAAAAAAATAAATAACCTATAGCAACAAATCTGAACTATCAGAGAAAAAAATAGCTTTAAAAAGTATGGACGACAGCGTAATACTGCTAGACGATTCACAAAACAGTGTGCAGATTGTGGATGACGACGTGGAAGACGGAGAGCTGGAAGATGACGTTGAATTTGTGCCATCCGAAGATGTTACCCAAGAAGAGGTCGAGCCAGCCGCCGAACCGGAGAAAACTAGCACAGATAATGCCGATCAGGTGGGTTTAAAAACACAGATACTCTTTTTACGTTATCTGAGAAAGCCTTTCATTCAGGAAGCCAACAAAGAATGTGAGGAGAACCTTGTTTTCGAGGTGAGATTCCACAACGAGATGCACTTTGCCAGTCTGCAAAAACAAATGCTGGATGTTCTGGAACACACATTTTCAGAAAAGCAATTGTGTTTTCGATCTAATCCGGAGTGTCTGCTGATAGCAGCCTTTGAGAAGAGCGAGGTGCAAACGGAACAGGAGTCTTCGAACAGTGATCACCTCTTCCTGATCGATACTCAACCGGCGGTTAAGCTTAACGCCGCCCAGGTACCCTCATACAAACGCTGCAACACAGACGTTCTGGATGAGCAGACGGAGGCGAGAAAGAAACTCAAGGCGGAGGAGGTCAACAAGTGCTTCCGGCCCAAGGCGCAGTCCTCCTGCTTTAATTGCGGCGAGACAGATCACTCCCTCCGCGAGTGTCCCAAGCCTAGGAACAATACCAGGATAATGCGGGCCCGCAAAAAGAATAGCCACCGCATGGAGCGGTATCACGTGGACGCAGAGCAGCGATTCGGTCACTTACGCCCAGGAAAGATCAGCACAAAGACGCGTCACGCCATGGGCTACAATCGCGGCCAGTTGCCTTTTATGTTCTACCGCTTGCGAGTGCTCGGATACCCACCTGCATGGCTGGAGGAGGCCAAGGTGCAGAGCTCGGGAATAACGCTTTTTAATGCTGACGTAAGTTGGGGCAGCTGAGCTGTTTTTCAGATTCTAACATCATCTTTTTTACAGGGTACCGAGGTCACAAAGTCCGACGACGAAGATGGCGAGTCCGACACCTTTAAGTACGACATTAACAAAATCGTGGAGTTTCCTGGCTTTAATGTCCATCCCGGCAAAATATTCGATGTAAATATTAGCTCTGGTTTAATTAAAAACCCACATTAATACTCTCGATCCCCAAGGACTTTAAATACCATAATGTGCCGCCGTTTCAAGAACACCAATCCAAGGCGAACTTTATTAAATCACTGGGCGAAAGCGTGATCAATGGCTACAAACGTAAGAAGCTAGTGGACCTGCCTGCCCCACATGACCAAGTGCCCATTCCCAGCGAGGAGCAGACCAGCTTTGGCGACTACGACATGGAGATTGTGGACGAGGCAGAGGATCCTCCGTTGCCACCTTCAACGCCTCTGCCGCCACCACCTCCCCCGGAAGAAGTGGGTGGAGCACGACAACGATCGCCATCGCCGAGTCTGGATGATTTGAGGGCCCAGCAGGAGAAGCTGCTGCAGCAATTGGAGTGTAACACTTCGCTGGACACGACGGCGAATGAGTCGACGTCGCAGACTGACTTGGATGACACGTCAGAGGTGGCGGTGAAAGAGGTTGAGCAATCACTATCAGCTCCTGCGACACCCTTTAAGGCCTCCTATGAGGGAACGCCCTTGCTGAAATTCTCTGTTTACGATCGGTTACCCGTGGGTAGTAACTTCAAGGTGGGCGTCAGCGATGTCATCAACTTTGAGAACCTGCCGGATTCTACCGGCAAGTACGAGCAAATGAAGGGACTGTTGAAGAACGTGCGTGAAAAGATGGTAAAACTGCAGAGCGAGGACAACTGACGAGTCAAAGGATAGATATTTACGAGCCACATCGCATCCCGCCCACCAATTGTTTAGCATTTAAAACATTTAAAAGCCTACTGTACAAAGCAAATACAAATCGAATACTTGTAGTTTTCCAATGTGTATTTTTAAAATTTCGAAATATATTAGTTAATAAGCCTGCGTGTTTATCGAGTGTGTGTGTGCGGTCTTGTGTTTTGTACAATGTGGGCATGTATAATTTCTCTAGTCTGTGTAAAAGTGCGAAAGAATTTCACCAATCGGATTGCTCTGGTTCCATCCGTTATCGTAGTGAACCATTTCTCTCCCAATTGCTGGAGAAGAAACAAAACAAGGAAATGCTGAATTGCGAATAGCGTTGCAGAAGCTCAGGTTTGGCAGAAGCAAGGGCGCCCGGTTCCATCTAGTTGATGGCCGGCGGAGGAGGCTGCGGGGGCGGCGGCGAGCCATCCTGGTCGTTGTCGCGCCGACCACCGGAACGCTTGTTGCTGGTCAAGCTGCCCCAGGTACTTGGATTCAGTATGTACATGAACATGGCCACGATCAGGAAGATCATGGTGACGGAGAAGCCGCTATCGTCGCCGCTACGACCAATTCCCTGCACCTGCTGCTGCGAACGTCCGGTGACTGGAAATTAATGGATTAATTAATAAGTCCTTTTCCAAAAAAAAAAAAAATGTCCTTATACATTTAATCGCCTATTGCACAGTTTTTGGCAATCCACAACTGAAATATTATTCTAATCAATAACAATTTGGTTCGTTGGTATAATTTTGCTACTTGTGTTAACGTATTTTGACTATAACTAATGCCACTTACTCTCAATTAGATAAAAATAATTAGATAAAATTAAGTTCAGGCAAAGACTCAGTTTTTTGTTATGCCTTTTATGTTTTGTGATGCGCTATTTTTGTTTTAAAATTTTTCAAGTTGTGTTTCATTTTGTTTTAAGGGGAACTGATAAGCTCTACTTATATAAAGCATACTCATTCTATGGAGATACTATTTCTCTATTTAAAAAACCCCAAAAAACCGAACCCAAAAAAATGCTGTACTCACCATCGAAGCACTCGGTGTCTGAGCAGGCATTCTGGTTCTGGCGTATCTGAAATAAAAAGGAGATTGTACCAGAAGGTTTAATTAGCCGGTAAGCCTGGAACCTACAAAGTTTATGAGCCGCTGCATCGCATATTCCTGCGACCAGACGCACTCGCAGCCATCGAAGTCGTCGGACATTTTTCAAGATTATTGCCTTGAGCCTGGGTAACAATCGCTGGGGAGATAGAAGTGGTTTTCAAAGGGTAAATATTATATTTTATATATTTATTTAGTTATATTCTGCTGGCACTGACGTGTCTTTCCAAGAGCACCGAACAGAGAACTGATTTTAAACAAAACGAACTCAGCTGAGACTAATTTATTTACCAGCCGCAATCGAGTTATAGTATACGTAGTATATATGTTTGCACGATTCCGATAAAGTCGGTTTAAGTTCGCGAGAGCGCTGGAAGAAGAGAACTTGAAAAGTCGGCCATACGTACTGAGTTCTCAGTTTCAATTGGCAAAACACAATTTAAATTTTGTTGCAGTTGTCAATAGCAAAGTTATGAGCTTGACGGCAAACGCAAATCGAAAGTTGGGAAATTTAAGCCCCAAAATGTCCACCCCAATAATTTGCTATATACACATACGTAAGCCCCAATGTTTTCTGTATAAGTATGTGACATAAATACACGATTATCAGAAAACGACAAAAACCTAAGCAATATGACAACTTTTAATTATCGCCGAGACAAAGACAGCGCTTATCACAATTAATTACGAGGTCTTTTCCGTTAGCAGTTCGCTTTTCAAACCACCCCAAACCGAAATCACTATCTACTTTTCAAAAACGTAAACACAACTTTCCCATTTTGTTTTTGTTTTCCAATGGGAGGCGTAAACAATCACAGTTGATGGGCGTACAGTAGTTAAATGACGTTTCCTCCAAGAATTTCACCCTTAACAATGCATTCCGAGCATGACAATCGAGATTGTAACTAAATTATAGTAAACTTTTGTCCCTGCAGCGTAACAATTAATTTTTTCTTACCAACTGGAATGGAAATAATAGCACATATGGTAGTGTTGAGCAACGACCAGCACTGGAGGAAGCTATCGATGGAACCATTGCCAGTGCTGGTGGTGTCCGGCTTGGAGCAGTACATAAAACTGGCGCCAAAATCAAAATCAATAAAAGTTTCGTCTTTTAATTATAATTACATAATTGGTTTTAATTGTAGCCTTAGAATACTGTCATGTCATGTGGGAGTTATAAACAACCTATAAAACCGCATTTTTCTCAGTCTTTCTTAATCAAAATGTTCGTGTTCCTGCTCATATTTGTTTTTATCCATTTTGTCGGTGCTCATGAATCGAAATCACTTCAAATTCTTCATGAGCTAAATACAGATTTTGGAATGGAGCTAAATGTGTTCGTCGACTTTGGCAATCTCGAGAGTTTATATTTACTTAAAAACTTGGACACTCCCAGGATTCAACTCACTTCACAATCCGCGGAAAGTTGGGATTTTCAAATCCGAGGAATCTTTACGGAAAGATCTCTTGTCTTAGTGAGATTAGGTGATTCTGGACTGGATCCCAGAGTGGCCAGTCTTCTTCCCCATCTCGTCGACAAAGTGCATGAGCTGCACTTTGTATTTCTGAGTATGCAGGAACCACTTTTTCCCAAAGATGACCTCTACACATACTGCTACAAACAGGGATTTGTTAATGTGCTTTTAATAGGTGCAGGAATCATGTACAGTTATCTGCCGTATCCCTATATTCAACCGATTAAGCTCTCAAATATCTCTGAGTATCTCAATAGAGAAAGGATTATTCGAAATTTCCGGGGATTTCCCATTCGAACACTTCGATCAACGTTGGCGCCCCGGGACTTCGAGTACCTAAACGATCGAAATGAGTTGGTACGAGGTGGATATTTGTTTGCGGCCGTCAAGGAGTTTGCTAATCGCTATAATGCCACTCTGGACAGTGTTATCATGCCCAACGTAACGGAATACGCAGCGTACGTGGCCGTCGAGGAAATGCTGATCGCCAAAAGGATCGATATTGTCTGCTATTTTAGAGCGTTGAGCTGGAATGTGGCCTACACAGCTCCGCTTTCGATCATCGCCGAGTACTTGATGATTCCACAAGTTCGACCGATTTCCAGTTTTCTTTATTACTCCCGCCCCTTCAGTTGGTCCTTGTGGGTGGTCGTGGCTTTGACCGTCCTCTATGGTTCTCTCATGCTGTACCTAAGTTCAGGAAGAGCGCGAAACGAGATCGGAGAGTGCCTGCTTTATAGCTTCAGCCACATCCTATACAGCTGCCACCAAGCAATCAGGATTGGAGGCTGGAGAGATACAGTTATTCACGTTATCCTAACGATCGCTGGTTTTATACTCACCAACGTCTATTTGGCCACACTGTCCAGCATCCTTACATCTGGACTGTTCGAAAAGGAGTACAATACTTTCGAGGACCTGTCCAATGCTCCGTACCCGAATCTTCACGACGAGTTCTACAGGATGGAATTGCAAAGCAAAACATTTCTTCCCGAATCCTTCCGACAGAAGAGCATCACCTTAAATATCACTTTGCTTACAGCATATCGAGATGGGCTCAACAAAAACTATATATATCTTCTGTACGAGGATCGCCTGGAGCTGGTATTGATGCAGCAATACCTACTGAAGACGCCGCGTTTCTATAAGCTTCGCCAAGAAGTGGGTTACGCCCTCGAATCCTACTGCGTGTCCAACAGCTTGCCGTATCTGAAAATGACTAGCGAGTTCATGAGGCGGCTGCAGGAGCACGGAATCAACATCAAGTTCAAGGCGGATGCATTCCGGGAACTCATTCAGCTGGGAATGTACACCCTGATGCGGGATGATGAACCTCCGACCAAGGCGTTTGACCTCCAGTACTACTACTTCGCCTTCGGCTTGTGGGCTGTTGGCCTGGTTTTGGCTCTTCTGGTTTTATCCATTGAGCTGGTTAAGTGGCGGTACCACAAAACAAGAGCTCGAAAATAAAATGCACACATTTAGTATGGGTTTAGTTTCTTCTTAATAGGTAGGCAACAATAAAACAACAACAAAACCGACCGGCGTTTTTTACTTTATAGTTAATATTCTAATAGCGACTCCTACTTAATCCAAGGCGGCGACTTTTATTGTTTTGCATGCAAATCGGAGACATGTCCCCAGCAATAAGTCTAGCGTTGTCGGAGTTCTCGACCAGATTGGAGTTCTTATCGGCTAGCGGGGTACTTGTCGAGACCGGTAAGGGTGCACATTTGGGCTTAACCGGAGTTCTGCTCCGCTTCCGAATCTTGCTCAGGGAGAGGAGATTTCGGCGAGCAATTATGGAGGACTTGGTTTTCTTGTCCAACGGCGATCGCTCTGCCAGTTGCGACAGGGAGGCGTGGATCTGCTGCGATTGGGGTGGCGTATTCAGGCCACTTTGGAATGAGGTCGTCTTGGTCAACTGTGAAGGTGTTTCGCTGCAACGCCTCTTACTCGAGGGAATTCCGTCGGAGGTCTCCCTTCTGTGTTTGGGTGTGACCACACTTGAGTCATCACCTAAATTCGAACTGTTTTGAATTTTCTGCGACAACCTGGGAAAAATAGAGTCGTTATCGTCTTCGTCCATTGAAAAGATGATGCCATCGTCCAAGGGAAATCCATGGAAATCTTCTCCAGACGCATCATCTGATTTGTTAGAGTCACTATCCCCAGGCTTAATGACAACAACATCGGCAACTTCCGGAGGCAAGGCAATTTCAATGTCTGCCATCAGTTGGGCCGCTCTAATTCTCGTCTCCTCCGATATTTCGATGCGTTTGTTAGACGCTGTGCGGAACCCAAAGATTTCTCGAAAGTCATCCGCTGGCCTTTCTCCACTGTAATGATTCAGATCTTCAGCCACTACCTCATCCATTAATTTGGCAGCTTTCTTTTTCATCTCTTCTGATACTTTAATGGGCTTGTTTGATGCTGTTCTGAATCCCACAAACTCCCGACTGTGATTACCAGATATTTCTTTAGTATGCGAGTTATGCTTTTGACTAGGTTGGTACAATCCCGATTCAACTTCAGACATTAACCTATCGCCCATGTTTTTCATTTCTTTCGGTATGTCAATAAATTTGTAAGGCGTTTTGCGGAATCCAACAAGCTGAGGAATATTTTGAGTAGGAGACTGGGTTTTGTTGGGAGTCCTTATTTCATCCTCTTTTATTTTTGTAAGATCGACTTGCTGATTTTCTTTTCCTGCAATGACAGTATTTGAATTTGATATTGGCATGATTATCGATTTGGGCACTTCAGTTAGTTTTTTAGAGGTAGATGGAACATCTCCAGAAATATCTATTGGCTGCCATTCACTGAAAGCAAAATCTTGGAGGTACTGATCGTCGTTAACTTGGTTAATCTCGTCTGTGGCCTTAAACTGGGCTAGAAAATGAGCTCCTTTGGCTTCCATTTCTTTCGTGATCTTAATCGGTTTGTTTGAGGCAGTTTGAAAACCCACAAAGACTTTTGGTTGATTTGAGTCCATTCTATCTGGTTCACGTTCGAATGGGTTAGTTTCAGCTGCTTCAAAATCGGACAAAAACTTGGCCGCTCGCTCTTTCATTTTCTCGGAAAGCTTTATTGGTTTGTCGGAAGCAGTACGAAATCCAACAAACTCGGGGATGTCTTCACGTTTTTGTTTATGCGGTTCCGTTTCTTGCATTTCCTCAGGAACGTCAAAATTAGCGTCGTTCTGATCTGCTGGACTTTTCGGATGGTGATTTTCTGCTTCCTCAAAATCGGACAAAAACTTGGCCGCTCGCTTTTTCATTTCCTCGGATACCTTAATTGGTTTGTCGGAAGCTGTGCGAAATCCAACAAATTCTGGGATGACTTCAGTTTTGCGTTCATGTCCTTCCATTTCTTGCATTTCCGCGGAAACGTGAAGTGACGTTTTAGGCGCTGGTTCAAGTTCTGGTTGCCATTCGTCAAGGTGAATTTCCTTCAGAAACTGAATATCACTGACCAAATTGGTATCTTCTGCCATCTTTGGGTTTTCCTGAGAAATTGGTTCTATTTTCAATTTTCTTTGAAGTGCCTCCTCATTTTCCTTTACCGATTCATCGGGCAATTCCATGGAAGTTTGCCATTCACTGACTGGGATGTCCTCTAATACTAAAATGTCCGCGTTCTCAATCTCGCCATCTAATAACAACCTTTCTGTATTGTAGATTTCCAAAAACGAATCTGCCTCAGACCAATCATCGCAAACTTTTATATCTGCAATTGAAAGGGTGTTTTTATTGAGTCTGTTTTATGGGAAACATTTAGCTTTTTTTTTACCCGATTCGATGGCAGTAGTTCTCATACTTTCTCCGAATATAGTGGCACCCAAAAATCCTAGAGGTTTAAGAAAAAAGTTATAAAGTATTGTTAAAAAAATCTACAAATTTCATTACCTTCAGGCTTAATATCACAATTTTTTGTTTCATTATTTGTTTCAACACAAATGCATTCCGTAGTCGAATTTGAACCTGAAAGGTTCCTCTCGTGATTCCGGGACCCCGAGGGTTGCTCAGAATTGCGTCGTGTTTTGGTTGGAAGATCTATTTTTGATTGAAGTGCTTGAACATTTTGGGTTTTGGAGTTTGGGCTGCCCAGGGAGAAGTATTGACTTAGGTTTAGTAGGTTTTCCCGTATCCTTTGGGACGTATTGGCATCCAGTTCGCAAACGACGGCTGTTGTAGTACTATTGAGATCCTCCTGGACGGAGAGTTCCGACGTACAGCTCATTCGATCCTCATCCTCCTCGTTTTCTATATGTAAGTCAGTATTTTGTGCAGTTTTTTTTCTGCTGTACGTTTTGATTCTTTTCCTTCGGAACCGAAACCATGGTGGGGGATCGTAGGCAGCCAACTCCTCTTCATCTTCCTTCAGGAAAGGTGGTGAGCTAAAATCCCTTTTAATCATAAGGGCGATGTTCTCCCCGGGCGTGGGATCGGGTTGGTTAAGCAGTAGGTCCTCCAAGCAGACAAAACTACTGCTAGCAGGAGCTATCCGGGTTTGTTTTTTCATTTGTCGGGCTCGGAGTCTATCCTGGAGATCAACATCACATATCTTGGCCACTTCATCGTCTATACTTCCTAGAAATTCAGACCTTTCTCTACTCTGAAGAGGCTGTCGGAATGTGGGGGCAATATCCCTCCTCGTCTCAAGACTCGAGAAGCTCGGCCCCTGGTCCATAATTTCTCAAATCAGATTCGTTTTAGCATTTCAAGAAAACAAGTGTTTAATGTTGTGGTTACACTTCGATAGCTATACAGGCGCCTCCAAATAATCGATGCACTGAGGAGAGACGGCGCAAGCACGCCGTGAAAGTAGGAATATCGATTATTTTTATTACTAACTCAATATTTTGGGAGCTGAATTAAATAACTTAATTCTAGAGAATGAAACTAATTAAATTGGAACATATTTTGATAGTTTACTTAAAACATATCGATATCTGACAATCTCCAAAATCATCGCTGCTGTCGATAGCGCCATCGATTTTGTTTCCAGCTCTAGCTCTTGCAAGTAGCGACAATTTTTGCAAAAATACAATTAAATAATAAGGGGCACCGTCGAGGCTGCGAAACCTGGTTTTTATACTACTGCAATTGCTGAAGAATCTAGTTTAGGTGCCACCCGAAAATACCGGAAAATTGTAACCCAAAAACAAAGGGAGAGTTAAAAAAAAAAAGCAGCGACGGCCCAAAAGTGAAAGCCCCCAGAAAAAGTACAAAAGAGCGAAAGAGCAAGAGCGAGAGCGAGAGAACAGTGAAAAGAGTCTGGACGAGAGAAAAACGATTTTTTCAGAGAACACCGCGATTTTTGGTAGAGTTCTGTGTGCGAGACCTGGTAAGTGGACATTTGATCCAGTCTGATTTGGTGTAATACGGAATCCTCGCAGGAACAGAAGGAGAAAGCCAGCAACCGTCAAGATTCAGGGCCACTTCTACAGCGGGTTCCAGATCCACAGCCACGGAGGACGCAGCCACCAGGACGCAGGACGAACCGCTACCTACAGCACCGCCAGCACTACACTAGCCGCCACCACGCTCCACAAACAGCCAGCAGCCATCATGTTCGTCAACTCGATGACGTTCCGCGGAAATCCTGCGAACTACCATCAGCAGCAACCGGCCCTCAACCACCACACGCTGGCCGCAGCGCACCACCAGCAACAGCTGCACCATCACCTGGGTCACGTCGGTGGACATGCGGCGAGCAATCACCTGGCGGCCGCTGCCGTCCTCGGCCGCCATGGCCACAACTCGCTGGGCAGCGGGCACACTTCCAGCTCCTCGCACTCCACCAACGTGGGCGTGGGAGTGAGTGGAGGAGGGCTGGCCAGCGGCTCCACCGGCGGCAGCGGTGGCAACAGCTCGCCGGACAGCGGTAAAATCTACATCAAGAACTTGGAACGGTCGATCGACAACAAGGCAGTGTATGACACGTTTTCCGTGTTCGGTAACATCCTTAACTGCAACGTGGCCAAGGATGAGGACGGCAACTCGCGCGGCTACGGGTTCGTTCACTTCGACACGGAGGAAGCCGCACGGGCGGCTATTGAGAAGGTGAACGGGATGCTGTGCAATAACCAGAAGGTGCATGTGGTCAAGTTCATACCACGGCGGGACCGGGAGCAGGAGAAGGCCACGCACTTCAAGAACCTGTACGTGAAGAACCTCAGCGAGGAGTTCACCGAGCAGCACTTGCGCGAGATGTTCGAGCCCTACGGCCGCATCACCAGTCACAAGGTACGTTTGTTTTTGTTCCCATACCTCCGTAAAGAGGGCGGTAGTGCAAGTTGGGCCGGGTGGTTGCAGGACAACCATGTGGCACAGTTTCTCACGCTCTTAAATTCGCTCTTGCCGCATTGCTGCGCATGCCCATTAGAGGAAATAGGAGGGGAAACGAGATTCCGCTAGGTCCATCTGCGGATTTGTTTATATCACCATCAACGTGTTCTATCTGATCCTTGCAGCTCATGCTGGACGAGGAGGGGCGCTCCCGGCGCTTCGGTTTCGTGGCCTACGAGAATCCACAGTCGGCGCTGGCCGCCGTAATCGGCCTGCACGGCAAGCAGCTGGGGGACAACAAGTTTTTGTACGTGGCAAGAGCCCTTAGCAAGGCCGAGCGGCAGCAGGAGATCAACCGCAAGCTGGAGGAGCGCAAGCGCCAAAAGGCCGGCCAGATATTCTACTACTAAGACGGCGACGGTGGCAGCTGATCCAAGGACATCGCTAGGAGCTGACTCGGACCCCAGACACACAATATACACCCATATTTAAACCTATATAGATATTTACGAGAAATTGTATCGAGCAGCTAAGCGAGCATTCAGGCAGCAGGTGGCAGGTGGCGGGATGCAACTCCTGCACATTTACATTTAGACGTAGGCAAAAAGTGTTGCAACACAGTTGAAATTTATAGACACACAAGAACAGAACACGAACTCTTAATCGAAAGGATTTTCTAGGCATCAGGACAAACCGTTTCTTAGCACTCACTAGCGTTTTTTTGGAATTAGATGTTTGTCTTTACTGTTGAATTTAGTGAGCAGAGGCTTCGCTGTCAGCTTCTCCCCTAAAATATACATTGCCCACATTCACACTGGCCCGTTGGCATTAAGCCGAGCCTGGGCAACATATGAATATTTACACATACCTATTATATATTTAAACGAAACTAAAGCAACAAAAAGATAAAAAAAAAAACAAAAAAGGAAAAAATGTAATCCCTATTAACAATTGCAGCACTCACTCTACGTATATACATAAACATATATATTTACACGCTGTAGTTAAAAAGCGTTTATAATACTCACACACTCTAAGCTCTAACTAAAAAAAAACTTTTGACGAGAAATCAAGTGCAACCATTGCGAAAGCGAACCCCACACGTAATTTATATTGTAGACGCAAATGCGACAGAAATAATAGATCGGAGCTGAACGAAAAGTGGATTAGCAGGAGGGCCCAGCGCCGACAGTACATGAGTATTAAAATTTTAGCAATTACAAGACATTTTTGTAATTAACTGTACATTGTTTCAAGTAGCAAAAACGAAAATGAAACCACAAAACAGGACCGCAACAAAACAAAAAAGGTAAACCTAAATGAATGTAACCGATTCAAGAAGTGTACACAATGCAATGTTTAAAATCTTTTAGATTATTATTACGGATACAAGGCACGAAACAAATAAATCCCCGAATGAGGAAAATACTTTACTAGCAGGCATGTAAACAAGTTCGGCCCACGGCAAATTTAACCGAAACGAAAGCAAATACATACATACATAATTTAAGATTATTGAGCTTAATTTTTAAAATGTTTCCAAGAAAAGAAAACGAGAGTAACGAGAAAAACAAAAATAAGAAAACAAAACAATGCTAAACTCACTCAAAATTTGTAAGATTCAAGTTTTGCTGCGTCTAGACATTCACACAATGTATAGTTAAAACAGTACCACAAAAGAACAAAAACGAAATTACATAAAAATAGTTATAAATGATGGCAATATTTAGGAAGGCATAATTAATGTAACCCCTCATTTGACAATATTTATTTTGCATTACATTTCATTTTGGGCTTAGGTTGCCCGCTCCCTTCGATCCAATGTTTTGAAGTTGGGGGCGAGCGATATTACGAATCTAGTTTTCAGGACAAAAGTAGGATTAGGCCTTCACACTCTAACTCACACAGAACATATGCAATATGAATTTACAAGACAAACAAAAGAAAATTATGCAATTGAATAATATTTACACAAATGTACAAAACAAAAAAAAAGAAAATGAAATTTATTTTCCTTTGCCAAGCAAATGCGACATACTTCTTATTATTATTACAAATTATAATTGTAATTGAAACTTAATTTTTTTGGTAATTGCTTTTGCAGAATTTACCTAAAAACAAAATAAACGACAAACAAAATGAAAAAACCCAAAGGAGAACCATTTTATAGTGCTAAATTTTTAGAGAGTACAAGAAATGTTAATTCAGTCTTACAAAATTAATTGATAAAACAACACAGAGCGAATCCCATTCCAAATACGCAACACCACACAATTTTTCTCAATTTTGCACATTTGCTTAATGAGACATTACAACACCTGCATTCGATTCTACTCACGAGAACCTAGTTTTTATTTAAACTTTTGCTTGGACTGGGGTGTGTGTGCCCCCATCGAATGTCCCATTTTAACGAATAGCAAACCCACACAAGAAGCACAGATAATATCGACACAGATGGCGTATAATATATGCATTATATATGTAACTCCATTGAAACGAAAATCCTAATTATAACATATTACAAATACCTACTTATTAAAAACCTAAAAACAAGCGAAATGAACAAGAAATGGAAAAACATTTAATGATTTAAATCAAGATGCATTGAGCAGAAACATGTGAAACTTGAATAAAAATGCTTTTGCAAAAAGTGTTTGAAATTGCGACCTGACGAGTCTTTATTTATACATTTAATCATCAGTCGGGAAAGAAGATTGGAAGGAATAATAGCGATGGGATATCCTTGGAGATCCTTTGTTGGGTACTCAAAGGACCTGATGGCTCCAGTTAGTTTTCTTCGCTTCGCTTTTGATAAAAAGTAATGAACGAAATGATAGCTCCTGCCTTATTGAATATAGAATTTTGTCAATGAAATATTTTGGGCTTAGACTAAGCCCATATATCGAACCATATAGTCCATTAAAAGTTTTTTTTATAAGTGACCAAATCGACACACTCGAGTAGACCGCATTTATAGCCGTGAACAAATGGTAGTCAATCAATAAATTTACATGACGAGCCAGTTTCTTAGCTCCATAACCATCAGCCCAAGAAATTACAGAACGATTAGTATTTATTTATGGATAATATATGATGTGATTACAATCTTTGAGTCGCATTGCAGAATCATTTATTTCTAAGATGCCGCATGTACGTCAACTCCAAGCAGAACGCCAGGGAACCTATGATACTTCCCGCCACATATACAATCCACACAAAGTAGAAGTCCTTCCACTTGAGATCGCAGTAGACCTCAAGGTTCTCATCCGTTATGTAAGAGATTTGTCGGAGGGCGACCAGCTCGTAAAAGCTGCGTATGAACCAATTCTCATACAGTCCGCTGTCGTGTGTTAATGAAGTGTATCGATAGATAGACTTGTAAAATACTGAGTTCCTTGGCAGGCGCAAAGCCAAAATCAGGAATGGCGAGAAGACGATCGTCTCGGATCGACGGAATACGGGCCTGCGTAGTCTGATCTGGGCCCGCTCCAAATGTGGCCACAAGGTCAAAGTGACTGGATAGGCATACGACTGGTCCATCGAGAGGCGCTTGCACTGGAAATCAGTGGAGTTTGTGATCCAGAACGATTCGCTGTGGGCATCTATGAATTCTCTGCCCATCGTGTAGGTCAGCAAATTCAACTCCTCTTGAATGACGAGAATCTTAAGGTTCGCTCTGCGCATTTGGTCCCAGCTCGTTATGGGTTTGTCCGCCGGCGGATGGACGAGCCACGTCTCCAGATAGGCCATAAACAAGTTGCTCTCGAAGTAGCCGGTCATCAAGAGCAGCAGGTACATCGACATCAGCTTGGGGGAGAGTCTTCTGGGCAGGTTGAACGGCTGTGCCAGGACTCCCCGCAGCACCTTGGTGCCAACATCATAGCATCTCCAGCTGGGACTCAAGCCCGCCTCCAACCGATGGGCATTGCTGAGCACCGTTGCCAGCAGGAACATCAAGGGTATCAGATTGTTGGCACCGCTCTTGAAGTAGAAACGAGACCGGGGAAGGGGGGGTTCCATGGGTAGCATCGCGAACCAGCTGGAAATCTCCATAGGAAGGGGCTGGTTGCCTACGAAAGTGGTCAGGCCCAACGGAAAGTCCACGTGCATCATCTTCGAGAGCCTCTCCGCCCGACCCAAAGGGGTGATGCCGTTCTCGGAAACCAGGTCCCAGGGAATCTCGAGGGTTGCGTTAATGGTGCTCACGTAGTTCCGGATGAAGCTGTTCAGATATCCGCCCAACCGACGGCTTCCGTCTGCCCCTCGGTAGACAATAGTTCGGGGCATTGTGTTGTCGGGGAGTGCCCTTACGATATGGCCTCCCAAGTCCTCCAGTTGCGGTTCAAAGTATCTTACAACTTCTGCAGACCTTCGCTCTATAACTCGGAATTTAGGAAATGCCCGAAAGCTGTAGACCAGCTCCCTGTCGGAGCCTTTAAAAGCCAACACATTAAGCATGTTTGCACATCGAAGTTTCTGAAATGAATTACTGATGTCGACTTCTGCAGAAACGAATAATATGGTGGGAGTATCTCTCATATCATCGAGATTATGGTAGAGCGCCCTCATCATACTTCTTTCTTCTGACTTTAAGCAAACAAGAACCAGCATATTTGAATTGAAAGTATCTTTTAGATACACACTTTGGTTTGCGTTGAAGTTTATGGTGGGAAACTCTTCCTGAAAAGATTTGTGTTCCCAGCATGGATCATTTCGGGTCCAATTTTCCAAGAGAAGAATCGTGTTAAAGTGTAGCTCTTCCTGGAGGGAAAGCAAAATATTATTTAAAGGAACACCTTTTGTTTCCACCAAAGTGGTAAGTATAAAATATAACACAAGACGCATTTTGAAGATGACTGCTCTGAGTGGATTGGTAAAACTGACTGTAGTTTGCCAACTCTTACCAGCCGTTAAAATCTAATATCTATCCTTTAAGCAGTCAGGAATAGATAATTAGTCAAGTGTCACAGTTTTTAATTGCAACTTAATGCCACAAAAACTGGGTTACGTTTAACACATTTAGCTATACATAAAAAGCAATAATTGCAGTGTCAATAAGCATGTACTGTTTTTATTCGTAAAGGGTATTAGAAACCAATTTAATTTTTTTTTTTATTTATTCAATTTTGCCAAGGAACTCTAGAAACTCAATTAGTCCAATCCATATAACAATGAAGTCCACCCACTCGAGGTCAGAGTAACCCTCAACATCCATATCTACTTTGTACGAGATTATACCAAGAGCCTCCAGTTGCTTAAAGCTATAAGATTGGATGAATTCAGTTGTTTGTCCTTCTCAAGTGCAACTTGTAGTACATAATCTCGCCAAGAAACACCAGGAAACTTATGATAGTTCCCACCAGGAAGGCAAGCCAAACAAAGTAAAAGTCCTTCAACTTTAATTCATGAACAGCGTCGTGGTTCGCATCTATTTTGTAGTGGATTTTACGCAGCGCAATTAGCTCGTTAAAGCTCCGCCTGAACCAGAACTCGTAAAGTCCGCTCTGCTGAGTGAGACCCCTGTATCGATTAAGTGACTGGTGGTAGATTGAGTTCTTCGGCAGGGGCATGGCCATGATCAAGAACGGTATGATGACCATCTCCCGGGATCGACGGAAGACGGGTTTTATCAGCCTGCTCTGTGCCTGTTGGAGGAGTGGCCACAAGGCTTGCGTTACTGGATAGGCAAAGGACTGGTCCATGGCCAGCCGATTGCTTTGGAATTCCCTTGAGCTGGTCAGTTCCAGCAAGTCCATATGTTCCTCCACAAAGCTTTGCCCCAGCGCCTCCCTCATGGAATTCAATTCGGACGGGATAATCTGGATCTTCATTTGTAGGTTGCGCATTTGCTCCCAGCTTAGGACCGGATCACCCAGAAGCGGATGCACCAGCCAGGTCTCCAGAAAGGCAGTAAAATAGTTGCTCACGAAGAAACCACTCAGCAGGAGCAGCCAATAGATGAGCATCAGCTTGAGAGAGAGTCCCCTGGGCAGGATGAATGACAGCGCCAGGAAACCTCGAAGGACTTCATCACCCAGGCAGTAGCACCGCCAGGTGGGACCCAACCCCATCTCAATGCGATGGGCATTGCTGAGCAGCACAGCCAGCAGTATCATCAGTGGAATCAGCCATGTGAAACTCAGTTTCAGGTAGAACCGATATCTAGGAATGCAGGGCTCCATGGGTAGCATCAGAAACCAGCTGGAGACCTCCATGGGAACATTTTGTGGGGTTGACCAGTGCTCTGTGCCGTGAATGCCCAGCGGGAAATCAACGCCATGAGCCTCCGAGAGCCTGTGAACTTCCCGCAAAGCGATTGCCCCATCTTCGGGCACCAGATCCCAGCAGATTTTGAGAGTGGCGTTTATGGTGCTCGCGTAGTTCCTTATAAACGGGTAGAGATACCCGGCCAACTGGCGGTCTCCGTCGGAATTCCTGTAAACCACGGTTCGCGGTATAATGTTGTCGGGTAGTGCCCTTAGCGTATGTCCTCCCAGATCCTCCAGTTGATGCCTAAAGTATCTTCGCACCTTTGTTATATTTCTTCTGATTAACTGAAATTTTGGGAACGCCTTGAAGCTGTAGACGAGGTCTGTGGTAATGCCTTTAAAAGCCACCACACGCAGCATATTTTGGCTAAAACACTCCAATAACAAATCCTTAATTTCGTAATCCGAAAAGACGAATAAAACTGTAGGAGTATCGCGCATATCTTCCAGATTTTTATACAGTGCCAGCATTGTATTTCCCTCATTTTTGGTCAAGCAAACAAGTGCCAGTATCTTTGAATGGAATTTATCTTTAAGATACAACATTTGGCTTGCATTAAAGTTTAGTGTGGGAACACTTTCTTGAAAGGATTTTCGATTCCAACACGATTCACTTGCTGGCTCACTTTCTAAGAGGAGAATTGACTGATAATGCAGCTCTTCGTCAAGGGATTGAAGAATACTTTTCAAGGAAGCACACTCTGCTTCCATTAACCCGACGGTTACTACTAAATACAAGGTTAGCCTCATGCCTATTTTGACCGTTCTACAGGACTGAGTATAATAAACTGCAACTGGATAAAAAATATTGAGAAGGGCTAGGGTAATTAACAAAAAAGATTGAGAAACAAAAACCAGTAAACAATAAAAACCAAAAGTCATTGCTATTAATGGGAGCTAGCATATCAACATAAAGTGCATTTCCACAGGTTGTTTACGGCAGCACAGCTTATACTAATTTATTCTACAAAAATAAATCTAAAATCTAGTTTTTAAAATTTGTTATATTTTTTACCAATATTCTAAAATCAGAGGTTTTTTTTAAATTCTGTAAAGTCGGTTTTTGTGCACGACATATATTTGAATTAAACGGACCAAGAGCCCCCCTATTAAGAATATATTCTCCCTGCGGTATATTTTACCTATCACAGTGCGGTCACACTAAAAGCAAACGTGAAAAAGTGAGAAACATACGGTTTAGTTTTTTATTATGTACTAGGCAACGATTGGGTTTGCTAAATAAACTATATATAAACGGTAAAGCGAGTGCGCTGTAATCAATGAGTACCTGATATAACCGGTTGACAGTTGCACGAAATGCCAATAAAATATGAAATTTTTTGCTGTAGTTGTGTAATTTGGTTTGAAAAAGAGTGCCAGGCAAAAACAAAAACAAATCTAGATCGCGCGATATTTCGTCGATGACGTAGCTTGAATGCGTGTGTGTGCTGTATAATTTTTGGAAAAACAATTTGTGAATTTTTCTATTTATTGACATTAAACCAAATCCACAGTAGGCTAACAGCAGAAATCTCCACCTTTTATTTACTTTTTTTAAGAGTCGAGAATCGTGGAAAGGGAACCGTTATATTGCGCCAACGAAAGAGGAAGAGACAAACAAGTGATTAACGATATCGGAAAAAGCAACGCAGCAAACAAAAGCAAAAGAGGATAAAAACCGAGCGACAGAGAAACCAAAGATACACAATCCACAGACAGTTTGTCGGAAATTCAAAATTTCTATTAAAAATTCTTTGGAATCGGATTGGCAGTCGAGCCGAGCCCCGCATCCCGCCGCCCCTCGCCGTCGCCATGAACGCGCTGCTACGTCACAAGGGACGCAATCTGCGAACGAGTCACTTGGCCCAGAATGTCTACAAGCGCTGTAAGTTGGCAAAAACAAGAAAGCAAAACGCAAAACCCAGAAAACTTTCCATTGATTTTGTCCCCTTGCGTGTCCGTGTGTGAGTGTGATTGTGCGCGCTACTTATCCGGTATTTTGTTTTGACTGCACTTTCGCTGGAACGCAACAGCTGATTGGATGGAATCTTCGAAGTGTGCTGGAAATTCTGCCGTGAAGGGTATCCCTTCAGTGGCGTAGTCAAAATCTGTACTAGGGAACACTATTTATTGACCTATGAAATGAATCCTATGAAATTGTAAACCGGTTTTGAATCTTCTATCCTACGTCACTGTTTTTTTTTTTGCTTCGGTAACTCACTTTACCAGATAATTAAATTACTCCAAATGTTTTTCTGCGTTCTGTGGACTTTGAATCAACTCTTTTTATAATCTAATCTTATGCGCTATATAGTACTCTGTACAGTACTTAAATTAAAATTCAAATTTATTTATTCATTCAAGAATTGTGTAAAAATTAAAAAGTTAAAAAAAGCACTTTTGGATGTGACACCTATTTTTCCTAAAATTTGGCAATATTTGTGCGACATATTTTGATTTTCCTAGAAGTACCCTAACAGGGAGCAGGTGCCAAAGACAGGTAACAGAAAACACCAGACAGAGAGTCACCTGCGGAAAAGTACAGTTCAGTGTAAAATCAGTTTGTAGACCTAAAAACAAGTCCACACTCATTTATAATACCTGAAAATGGGACCGAAATCGCCTTCACCTTTTTCTTCACAGTTCCCTTTCGTTTTTTCCTTTTTTCACTCAATCGCACTTTTACCTTGAGCAATTGCCAAAAATCGGAAAATCAAATGAGAGAAAATGAAAGGAAAATGCGCTGTAAACATTGCACTCATCACACATTTCTCAATGTTTGCTGCATCGTTTATTAATAGAGATAGAGAATTCGCGTTGCTTGTGTGATTTCAGTCTGTATTTTGGTTTATGTAATCTCCACTCCAGGTGCTAATTTATTTTTCTTGCCTATTCTATTATCAACTTTTCGCCGCTACTTCAAGTCCCAACAATAATCCATAATCAAGGGGTAAAACGCTTATCAACTGCAAGCTTTTCGTGTTTTTGTTCGTTGTTTTTAATAATTTATTGTGTGCTTGTGTTCTTTGTTGTCTTTTCACCGGCTATTCAAGATTGTTGGGCTGATTGTACTTTCTTAGAAAGAAAGGAAACGTGTTTCGGAAAACGCATTCGTCATTCGTTGCTATAGAATGAGTTTGTTGAACTGGAAGATGATTTTACTTTTGCAAAGAATCAATTGTGATTACTTTATTCTAATCCTCCTCCAATCTTTCCAGATCTCAAGTCGAGCTGCTGTGCGTGTAGCTCGGCTAACTTCACAGATGACCCCACCATAGAGGATGAACGGCCACGGAGATCCGCCTCGACTTCGGCGCTGGAGGTTGGCAGATCGCTGGCCGCCAACCACCGGAGATTCCAGCCCCATGCCAGCTTTGGATACCACTACTCGGGCCACGGATTCAGGCATCTGCACGCCAGCCGTACAATGCTGGAGCAGTCCAGCTCTAAGATCGATGCGACCGTCAAGAAGCTGAAGAACCAGCAGAAGGAGAAGGTCGAGGAGATCATGAAGGAGGTGGCCAACGGTCAGGCGACGGCAGTGGGCACCAGCAGTGCAGCTACTGCCAGTGCCTCCTCGGAGAAGGGTCAAACGGCGAGTGCGGTGACTGGCTCCACATCGGCGACCGCCTCGTCGACATCTTTGGCCCAATCTGCGGACAAGTCTGTGGGCAAGCCAAAGAAGCCGCTAAGCACACGCATTTGGGACGAGCTGGTGCACTACTACCATGGCTTCCGTCTGCTCTTTATAGACGTGGCCATCTGTTCGAAGCTTCTTTGGCGGGTTCTTAACGGCAAGACACTTACGCGGCGCGAGAACAAGCAGCTGCAGCGGACCACCTCGGATTTGTTTCGCCTGATCCCCTTCTCAGTGTTCATCATTGTGCCCTTCATGGAGCTGTTGCTGCCGTTGTTCATCAAGTTCTTTCCCGGCATGCTGCCCTCCACGTTCCAGACCTCCACCGATCGGCAGGAGAAACTGCGCCAGTCGCTGAACGTTCGCCTCGAGGTAGCCAAGTTCCTGCAGCAGACCCTCGACCAGATGCCCGTCCAGCACAAGGAGCACAGCAGCGAGGAGGCCAAGCAGTTCGAGGCCTTCTTCACCAAGATCCGCAACCCCACTGAGTCGGTGAGCAACGATGAGATTATCAAGTTTGCCAAGCGATTCGACGACGAGATCACATTGGATTCTCTGTCGAGGGAGCAGTTGGCGGCGCTTTGCCGCGTTCTCGAACTGAACACCATTGGTACCACCACGCTGCTGCGTTTCCAGCTGCGTCTGAAACTGCGGTCCCTGGCCACCGACGATCGGGTGATTGCCCGCGAGGGAGTTGACTCTCTGGACCTTCTGGAGCTGCAGCAGGCGTGCAAGGCGCGCGGAATGCGCGCCTACGGCCTCACGGAAGAGCGACTGCGCTTCCAGCTGAAGGAGTGGATCGACCTCTCGTTGAACGAGCAGGTGCCGCCCACGCTGCTGCTCCTCTCGCGAACCATGCTCATTTCCGACGACAGCATCACCACCGACAAGCTTAAGGAGACGATGCGTGTGCTGCCGGATGCAGTGGGCGCCCACACGCGTCACGCCATCGGCGAGAGCGAAGGCAAGGTGGACAACAAGACCAAGATCGAGATCATCAAGGAAGAGGAGCGGAAGATTCGCGAGGAGCGCGAAGAGGAACAGGAGGAGACCATCGCCAAGCGAACGGCCATCAAGGAGGAGCATCCCGCCCCTTATGTCTTCGCCGAGAAGCTGGCTAGTGCTAAGAACCTACTGACCCGCAAGGAGCAGCCTTCGGCGACTGAGGCGGACAAGAGCATTTCGTCCACGGATGTGCAACTGCTTTCCGATGCCCTTAAGACCCTGTCGTCCGACAAACAGTTGGTGGTGGAGAAAGAAACGATCAAGGAGCTGAAGGAGGAGCTGGCCGACTACAAGGAGGATGTGGAGGAGCTGCGCGAGGTGCGCCAGGTGGTCAAGGAGCCGGTGCGCGAGAGTCGCGCGGCCAAGCTGCTGTACAACCGGGTCAACAAGATGATCTCCCAACTGGACAATGTGCTTAACGACCTGGAGGCCAGACAGCACCAGATCAAGCAAGCGGACTCCAGTGAGTACGTGGCAGCCAATGCGGCTGTCGAGCCGCAGCAAATGGTGCACATCGACGAGCTGGTCTCCACTATTCGACGCATGAAGGAGTCCTCCGACGAGGAGCGCTTCAAGGTTGTCAACGATCTGCTGGTCAAGCTCGATGCGGACAAGGACGGCATCATATCGGTGCAGGAGATTACCAAGGCCGTGCAGAGCATCGACAGTGAGGCCACCAAGATCGACAAAAAGCAGCTGGAGGAGTTCACCGAGCTGCTCTCCAAGCAGGCTACCCGGCGGCGCAACGAGGAGATCGTGCGCATCGACGACTTGATGAACAACATTAAGGTGCTGAAGGAAACCAGCGACGAGGCGCGTCTCAAGCACATCGAAGCTGTGCTGGAAAAGTTCGACGCCGACAAAGATGGCGTGGTTACCGTAAACGATATTCGCAAGGTAATCAAGCCATGCTAATGTGTTTCAAATGAGAAGCTAACCGATTCTTTGTTCTTGTTAGGTTATGGAGTCCATCGGTCGCGACAACATCAAGTTGAGCGAGAAGGCCATCGAGGAGCTCATCAGCCTCCTGGACAAGGAGCAAGTGCTGCAGGCTGAGCAGAAGATTGAAAAGGCCATTGCCAAGAGCATGAAGGAGGCTGAGAAACTGAAGTCGGAGGTGGACAAGGTAGAAAAGCACCTGTCCAAGCTTGTGAATAATATTCACGACTCTGCCAAGGAGATCCAGGACATTGCCAACGAAATGCGCGATAAGGAGGAAACAGAACCCGACAAGGCCAAGGAATTAAAGGCAGAGGTGAGTGTGCTTTCAAGTTCTTACTGACATTCACTGACTTTGTGTGATTTTAGCCTGAATTCAAAGACACGGCCAAAACCTTGAAGGACAACGCCAAGGAACTAAACGAGATAACACCGAAGGACACCAAGGACTCCAAACCGCCAACGAAGGCTTCAGCGGGCTCAGGGCCAACAGGAAAGTCCGGAGGTGATGCCAGCAGTGGAGGAGGCGGTGGAGGTATTACCCCAGGAACCACGACAGAATCGGTGCTCCGAGAAGCGGCCGAGCGGCAAATGGAAAAGATTCTGCCCTCCACGGAAATTGGCCTGCCGCCTACGATACAAACCCCACCGCAGCCACCGACGGCGAAGAAAGCGACCGCGACGGCATCGACGGCATCCACGACGATTACGGCCAAGAAGCTGCTCTGACCGGCCAAAGAGTCAAAGGAGGGTGTGGCTGAGACGACTCCTAAGCATGTTCCGAAGCCGAAGTGATGTGATGGTTTAGGAGCGGAGAAGAGGTGCTGCTCGTGCCTCCCTCCCTTGTTGTTCCGACTATGCAAAGAATTAATTGTTACCACTTAACATAATCGTAGGGAGAAAATCGAAAGGAAAGCGACTGTGTATTTAACTTATTCCGCGATCCTAAGACAGGATTGGGAGTTGTGCTATACTTAACGCGTGGCTGTAGTACGGTATTTTCTCTGAGTAAGGCACAAATAAGAAACTAATAGAAATACATAAGAATATAACCACTTAACCGATGTATCTTCATTTCACGAACCCACAGCTACTTCCGCGACATGTGTAACGTACCTCCCATTTATTTGGCCCAAAACAATATTAGCGAAGCGATTGTGATCATTAGGCGAACTGTTAATTTACGATTTAAACCCTACATCAATTGATGTGTATTTACTGCAAGAATATTAATTTAGCCGACCGGTTTTGGCATTACCGAAGGAGACGACGAGATATTGAAGTTTAATTGAAACCACGTGATAGCTCTAAACAATAATGTGTGTGCTTGAGTTAGCTAAAGAGAATTTGTAAAAGTGTTTCGCAATAAAAGTTAGTATACAAAACAATTAAGCCAGTATAATTTACGGGGACAGAGACGCCAGCAAAGTTTCTTAATTTCTGAGAAACGATTTCCCCTGCCGATGCACATTTTCAATCTGGCCTTATCAACAATTTCCCAGAAATTACAGCTCACAAGCCATTCGGGATTTTTAAATAACCGACTCGGACCAAACAATTGCTCTTGCAAACCGCATTGATTGCTCAGAATTATATTTTTGCATTGTTTATTGCCTCGGGAGCGGAATGGAGTTCCGTAACCACCCCCGAAAGCCCGGGCTTTGCCAACTGGCCGGCTGTGATTCGCAATCGAGAACCACAAAACGCAAACTTTTACGGCCAAGTTAGTTTTGGCCAACGAGGAGCGGAGTGCAGTGCACTTTCAGCATCATATCCTGGGCAATGGAAGTAATAAAAATTACCACAAAATGTTCCAAAATTTCATCTTTGCCTGCCCGCTGACCCATAAATTCCCATCATATTCAGCAACGGCCAAGAAAGTGTGGTGCTCGTAAAATATTTATAAATGTTCGCAAGCAGGTTGGCCGGACTTCATCGCAAACAGTTGAGCATGGTCAAATGAAGCTGGCCTAGAGTAAGGGTTAATCTTGTGTTGCCACATTCGTCAATCCCCAATTGCTGTGTGAATGCGGGAAGACTTCCGACCAACATCGAAATCGAAAACAAATAAGCGCAAAATGCTGGAAAAGAATACAACGGAAATTTATTTAAAGGTAAATAAAAGCGCCAAAAACGCGAAACAAGCCAAATAATAATAAACTTCAGCTCCACTGGGAGGGAATTGTTGTTTGCAATCAGGCAAAACCCAACAGCCAACAACCAACAACCAGCAACCGGGTACTGGGAACCTGGAAGCCGGAGCTGGGGAACCGGGAAACCGCAGACAGACCATCGCATCCGAGCGGGGGTTTGGGGCAGGAGGACATGGCAGATGGACAGGAAAGTTCTGCGGAGTGTCTCGGCGAAAGTTTGCTCAGCTCAAAGTGCTTCGGATGCAACAATGAAACTCGAAATCTGCCATGAATTGCAGACAATCAGCGACAGAGGACATAAGACAAGCGGACCGACGACCGGGTAAATTTAAAGTATATCGCCATGGAACGAAGTTAATAAGTTTGGAGCGCCAACGCCCCAGAGGATTTCCGTTTCTGCGCCAATGAAATAAGGCCAGCAGCGTGGCATAAAAATGGCAGAATTATTTGAAGAAATGTTACAAAACAATTAAAAAGTTGCCGACTTTCATGAGTCAATCAAAAGAGCGGCAGCCGCAACGAGTTTCTAAAAGTTGCGCAACTTTGCCCCACTTTAAATGCCAGACAACAGGCGCAACGCAAGACGCAACAAGCATACGCCCCGTTGTACGTCATGTGAGCGGCAGACATCCTTTGGCCCCGACTAATGCAATTTGTCCTTGCTGCGTTTTATTTTCTGGCCAATCAGGGGCGAAACTTGAAAAACTGCTGCATTTTCGAAAGCAGCAAAACAAGGAGTCGGTCGGTCGGTGGCTGTCAGAAAGTCGGGACTGTCAGTTAAAGCTCTTGGCATCTGCCCCACATATCGTGTATAACTCGGAATGAGCTCTTCGGAGGCGCTGATGCACACCAGATGCAGATGCAGATGCTCAGCTGCCCAGATGGACTGCTGCATTCGTAAATTTAATTCGTTTTTCACAAGCAATTATATCCCATAAAGTTATTTTGCACTGACGAGGGACATTCTTTGTAACCATGGTATAATGCCGGATTTTGGGCCAAAGAAGAATAAATGTAATGCAATTTGGATAGTGGGAGCAGAATTAGACAAATGTTATTAAATTTATTGATCACTTTAAAAATCTTTTAAATGACTAAATAGAAAATCTGCGAAGTGTGCGTTTATTTAAGATTTATATAATATTTGTTGTGAGCGGGGTGAAGAAACTACAAGCTTTATCCGCTTTGGTTACTTACTGAATACTTAACTCTTTTATTAAGACACATATATATTACAGTGTTTGATACTTAAGACAGCCTAATCTCGTCTGGGCAACCGTTTCTGGAAGGGATCGGACTCCCGGTGGAACCAGCCGTATCGCCAGCTAGTCGCCTCGGGATAGTTGTACTTGTCGTCCGGGCTCCGTTCGTACCGCCTCTCCAAGTAAGTGGCACGCTGACCGTCCCGCAGCAACTGAAGCTCCGCCGAAGGCACCGACTTCATGGGAAGCCGGAGCACAGTTTGGCCAAACACGTCCTCCTCCAACTGGGAGAGGTGGTAATGAAATGCTCCGGAACGGGGGGATCGGTAAATACGACTGGTCACTGAACTTGAAACTTTGAGGGGAATGAGGAACGGCTTAGCCCCGGTGGAAGTAGTGTTCCTAGTGGTTCCACTTCTCCTAGAAGAACCCGTTGCTGGAGAAGCATTCACATATGTTTTAGGCTTTGGATCCGAAGCGGCTTTTCCCACAATTTGCGACCTAGCATTCGCTAATTTTATACTTCGACGTTCCTCAGATTTGGGTTTTTCCGCTTTAGTATCTGATAAACCAGGAGAAGTAGCTGACTTCTTGGCCGCGTCCTTGGGTTTCTTTGCTTGAAATAGGGAAGATGCAAGTTGCACGGATTTTACGGACTTCTCGGGACCTATACTTCCTCGGTTTGCCAAGTGTATCCGATTCATGATTCACGTTAAAATTTAGACGAATACCTATTATGTGTGATACACCAACAGTTTATTTTGACATTAGACACTGATTTTGGACACTACAGTTTTGTAGTTCATAATCAGATCCTTTGAAACGAATGCACATTTTCAGATCTAAACACCCAGGAGCAGCAAAACGATTTCCGAACACCTGGTAACTCGAATTGACCAGCAAACATTTATGTCTTTTATAAACGTTGGTTTTGATTCCCCATAAATGGTAATCCCCAGCTGAATTTTCCTCCTTCTCTCCCACTTTTCGTCGCTGGCCGAATTTGTGTTTATTTTCAATTTGCGTGGTGGTGTGAACATATAAAGTGGATTATACAGAGATAAGAGTGCTCTACAGACACATTTTTCTCGCAGCTCGCATAGTTTTTTTTTGCGCCTGGCCACAAGAAGCGCTGGCCCACAGTTTGGCCATAAAAATATCGGAGATATGTCGCCAGACTGTGAAATGTTTATATGCACTGGGTCGCGTGTCGAGGTGGCTGCCACTGCAGCTGCACCAGTGAACTATATAAGCCCCGGAGATAGCGACAGGTCCTTCCTCCTTCTCGCTCCCAGACCTTGAGGATATGTGTGTTCGGCATTGATTTTGTCTCGTTCCAATTGGGTTGTTTATTTTCGAATCCCTTCTATTTTCTCGGTGGCTTCGTAAAAGGTGTTTTTGGGTCTGGTTGTTCGCCTCCACCTGCGGAACTTGCCTGCAGAAAATGTGTATAAATTAGCTGCTTGTCTTTTTCATCCTCTTGTTCTGTGGGTGAGAATATACTCTACTTCACTGAAATGAGAAGTTTTTCCTGCTATTGCGTGTTCTATTTGACGTTTGCTGCCGTATCGCAGATTGATTTCGCGCACCCCGATATGATAGATGGACGTGATGTCATTGCAATGCATTCGGAACTGAAAAATTGAACGACTTGCAACTTTAATAAGACGAAAGTGCGCGACAGCTGAAGCACTCACAGTTCCCCCGGACCTCGCTGACCATTAGCGGAAAACTCGCTCGCTCCCATCTCCAATCTCCACTTTTCACTTCGATTTGACTCGATTCGCTTCCACTTTCCACTTTCTTCCGCATGCTGCATTTTTCTCCATCAGTGCCTTCGCCCTCCTGCTCCTTAATTTGCACAGCATTTGTCGCCATTTGGCTTTTAGTTAGCCGGGAAATGCGGAAAATGCGGGAAAGTCGGGGCGTCGAGGGGCCAAGCCGCTGACTGATGGAGTTGCAGTTGCACTTTACTGCAATTGGTTGCACTTTATTCGCGGTTGCGTGAGTGGAACTGGGACTCGAAACTTCGAACTGAAATTGCCAGCTAGCAGGTTTAAACTTCTAAATTACATTATTGCCAGCCCCAAACCCCCTCCACATCCTTCGCAGGAGGCAGGGGCAGCATTCTGTGCGTAATTAAATTGAACACTGTCGATATTCGCTTTCAGCCACGAACCCAATGGCTTCCTGGGAAGTTCAGATTACTGCGATTTAAGGAATAACTATTATCTTAAAGCCGGAGTAAGTTAGATATTTACTGGGTATGCAACATAAATTGTTTTCAATATTAACAGCAAATAAATAAAGGAAAAATTAATAACATAATATTAATAATATAAACATAAATAGAAACTTATAAGGAGATTTGTCACTTTGAGTAGTTCTAATCGGAGTTAGTATAAGTTTCTAAAACCCAGAATGGGGCACTTTGGTGGTAATGAGTTCCAAGGCGACAGGTGCATCTCCGGCCGCCAAGTTCAAGAGGATGCGGATGCTGTTGGCCAGGCCAAAGTTCGTTGACTCAAAACGGCCCTTTAGGGCCGGGCAGTCAAAGCATTTCCATAAGCAGCGGGGGATGGGCCGTGGGTTCAGGACAGGAACACACAGGACACACCGAAGGAGGAGCTGCGAGAGGAGCGAGTCAACAATGGCGTGTGCATTGCTGGGTTTATTAAAAAGGGCTCAGGTGAATGTCTGAGCGCCTCGTTTGAGCCACCAGGTGCGCCCCCTCCGCTTGCCCCGTGTTTACTTAGCCGAGGCACACGCAGCGTATACGTAATATGGGGATGGGGATAGGGATATACATATAGTAGATAGATAGAGATAGAGCCGTCGCAACCAGGAGCCTCTGGTTCGCCTCGGAAGTGGCCCCACCTCGTGAGCAGTCTGCTGTCAATGGTCAAAGGTCATTTGCATTTTGCCATCGTCAGCTTGTCCAGGCCAACCAAACAAATATCCACGTTTGACGCCAGGCGGAGCAGGGGCCGGGAATCAAATACGAAACTGATTAAATGGCACAGATTGGAGGGGTCGTCAAAATATTTACAAAGACCGCAACCGCTCTCAAATAATATTTACCTAAAAGTAGAGAACAAAATGTTATTAGATAGAAGTATAATAATTGTTATATCCGACAGTGTTCTTTATAGTTAAACAATGATTTATAAACGGATGGAAAACAATCGAGAATCCCTGCAATGCCTAAACTGATGCATTGATTTTAGTGTGGCTATGTTGGTCAATAAATAATGAGTAAAGCATTGGAGGGCGAATAAATGGGAATGATTTAACGCGATGAACTCAATAATTTCAGGAACAAGTCGGCAGCTCGCGACCCCGAGGTACAATAATAAAAATTATACATACTTTTCGCAATGATTAATTGACAAATTGCTGGAGTATGTTTTTTCGCATGCCACTGGCAATCGAGACTGCCGACATTTTCAGCATGTAAACACATTCCCGTCGTGGGAACCGCCGTGTCCCATCCCATTCCATCTCGATCCCATCCCAGTCCCGATCCCGATCCCGTCGCGTTCAAATCGCTCGTCATTAATTTCCACACATCGGAGAGGGGCTTCGAGAACAATGGGAGCACTTGAAACTGTGCTCCAAACCCTGTTTATCCACAACAGCGTCCTCAACTTTTATTGGGTCCTTAGTTTCGCCGGCTTCGAGGGTTGTGGGCCACTTTAAGTGGCATTTTGGGGGGTCTTGGGGGCCTGGGTGCTGGATGCTGCTGAATGCTGGGTTAGCGGCAAGAACAACAACAATCAACACCATTTGACGGTACAAATTAAGCTCGAAGCAAACAAATCGTGGCAAGTTCGCTCGGTTTTCGCCAGCCAAAGTTTCTGATGTTTTTAGCACATGTTGTTGCCTTGTTTTATGCGGCTGCCTTGTCTGCTTTCCCGCTTTTCCGCCTTTTCCGTTTATTGCTCGCCCCGTGTCCCGATTTCCCAGAACAAATTCCACCACCCACTCCTCGATTGTCTCAAGGGCAATTCTCTGTTAAGTTGAGTATGAAGCGGCCTCTTCGATTGCCAATGTTCACTATTTATGGGGTAAAAGTGCTTAATCAAATGGCAAGCGGCTGGGGCACGCACCGAAAACACGGCGTATACTTAATATTGCCACTTCGCCTGCGGCCAAAGATTCCCTTTTCCATCTGTGTTTTCGCGTTGGGTGCTAATGAAGCCATGGTCTCAATTCTGGAAATTCTTATTTAATTAACAAGTTTAACAAGGGCTTAAGTGTTGATGGAGGACTTAAGGAAAGATGCTCGTGCATTTTGTTGCTTTGAAAGTTATTTATACAAAAGCCATACGGATTCGATAATATAAATTGGCAAGGACTACCTTGAAGTTCAAGGGACCCATCGATTGACATTTGAAAAACAAACAAAGACTTACAATTGTGTACGAACTCAAATGGTTTAAGGCAAACAAATAAAGAAAGAATTAGAGTAATAATTCTTGCAATTCATTTATTGCCATTCATTAGTTATGATGACAAATATTTGAATAGTTTTTATTGAGCTCTGAAGTTTTCAATAGTTAAATGCTCAACTCATAAACTTGGGAAAACACAAATCATGTTATTTCCATATTCCGCGGTCGGCTAATGCATTTTGATTGTAAATTTTGATAAATGCCTCTATTAATTCATTTAGCGCTCGCCCGTGGCGACGCCAATAAAATTTTAAATAAAAAACGCCGCCATCAATGCATAAAACATATTCGCAAACTGCATTCTGTGGATGGTGACCACGTGTGTGAACTCAGCAGAGTGTCTGCTCGTTGGGAAATAATTGCATTTGGGCCTCGATTTGCAGGCCATTTCGTTTGCAGTCGCCTAAACTTATTTATTTGCAAGCGTTTCTTTTCGGGATTGGCTATTTCTGGATGGCACGTGTTTAATCCTGGTAAGTATGCGCCGCAGCTCCAGGACGTCCAGGACTCTGGCGCTGTCCCTTTCGTTGGCGCACGGTTGTCATAAAATGTTAAATATAAATTTACGGCGCAGTGCGCGCTCCCGGCATACTAAGCACCGCATCAGGACTCCGTCCGAGAGTCGCAGAAGGACTTCGCAGGAGTCGAGGATGTCCCCGGTTGGCTAAGCACATTAGCAAAATGAAGCTGTTTCGATTACGATTACATTGGCCAGAGATTTGCGCCTTTGTTGCACTTTGTGATTTTGTTGTCAGCGTTTCAGCCACAGGACCTTCGTAGATTTGCTTTCCTGGGAAACTCGGGTCCTTTCTGGGCGGGGTCAGGTCCTCAGATTGGGTTGGCAGAAATAGAGAGCCAAACCAATTGAAATTCTCGCAAAATATTTCTGAAACATATTGTTATTTGTGACATCGGTAATCTAATTAAGGCGATAATTGTTCATTCGCCAATGGAATGGATTATGCAGATGTACCTTTATGGCATCCAATTGAATTAACTGATTTATTTTGTCGTGATTTAATTACTGGAGCGGAAAATGTGATGAAACGAATATGTTTATCAGCTTTCGTTAAAAAAAAAAAACTATGAAGTGTTTAAATATTTCATTAAAATACGTATTTATTTTTCTTGTAGCAAATATACAATTATCTTATCCTTATATTTTTATCTAAATATATTTTCTCGCTGAATCCCCTTATAAATACAGTTTTCTGTGCGATCTCTTTCACCCAATAAGTTATAGTTTCTGAATACACAAACACTCTTCTAAGCTTTGCAATTGCGATTGATTAAAGCAAGTTAAATGGCCGGAAGATACGATCGCGCGGTGACCATTTACTCGCCCGATGGCCACCTTCTGCAGGTGGAGTACGCCCAGGAGGCGGTTCGAAGGGGGTCCACTGTGGTGAGTCCTAGCCGTCTGGCCTAAGCCACTATTGAACACCCCGATTCCGACCGAAAGGTGGGTCTGCGCACCAACAACGCCATTGTGCTCGGCGTGGAAAAGAGGTCCGTGGACGATTTGCAGGAGGAGCGGATGGTTCGCAAGATCTGCCAGCTCGACGACCACGTGGTGATGACCTTCGCCGGGCTCACGGCGGATGCACGGATCCTGGTCAGCCGCGCCCAGATGGAGTCCCAGAGCCACCGATTGAACTTCGAGAAGCCCGCGACCGTGGAGTACATAACTCGGTAAGAAAATCCTTTAAACTTTACACAAAGAAGGTCACAAAGTTAAGGTTTATTAAAAGTTAAATGTATTTCCTGAGAACTTTCTGGTTAATAGTAACTCCCCCTCTCCGTTTAAAAGGTATATAGCGCAGCTGAAGCAGAACTACACGCAGAGCAATGGGAGGCGGCCCTTCGGGCTGTCGTGTCTGGTTGGGGGCTTCGACGAGGACGGCACTCCGCACCTGTTCCAAACGGAGCCCTCGGGCATCTTCTACGAGTGGCGGGCCAGCACCACCGGTCGGTCCAGCCAGCCGGTGCGGGAGTTCATGGAGAAGCACGCGGAGGAGCTCCTGGCCGCCGCCGACGAGAACGCGGCCATCAAGCACATAGTCCGCACCCTGGTGAGCGTCTCCTCGCTGGGCCACAAGCAGATGGACGTGGCGGTGCTGAGGTATCGCCAGCCCCTGCGGATGATCGATCGCAAGGTGCTGGAAGATCTCGTTCGGACCGTTCGCCGGGAAATCGAGGAGGAGGCGGAGGCCAATCGCCGCCCTCGGGTTTCCTAATTCCCGACACGGCCCTCGGCCAGATGCCCCGCCCCTTCATGACCAATCAAAAGTTGATAACCATTCCGGCACTGCGACGCCCTGCTTCTTTGGGCCATTCAATTTCGGGCCTGAGATGGGGAAAAGTAATCAGCAGGAAAAATGTGTAAAGCGGGCAAATCACTTAATTTGTCTCGAGGGCGTATTTGTTTACTTTATGTCTCGGGCCAAGGCGCGTCCGCTGTTCGCAGGCCAACCAAGTTAAAAAGTTTTAAGTGAAAATGGGAATTGAATTTGTAGGGGAAAAAATGAGAGAAATGCGCGCACACATGCAGAAAACATTTGACCATGGCCGAAAATGATTTTATTTGATTCACCTTTAATTTTGGGGAAAAGATTTAACAAATACATCATGGCTTAGTTATAAATTTATACTCTTCCGATATCCATTTAAAAATTCTCTGTATGTAACACCAGACCATTTGTTTTGTTGTATAATATATTTTATAAGACTCATCCCAAAAAATATTAAATACAAGTTTTTATTTAGTTTTTTTAAGAGGTGTTTTAAAAGTTTAACTTTTTACACTTTAACGCTTATTTCATTCGACATTTTTTGTGAGTAAAGCACAGTGTTTTAGCTGTTAGTTCCATTTAGGACTTTCGTTCCTCCTTCTCCACTTGTTCTCCAGGATGCCATACTGGCCCTCAAAAGTTTTCTCCTCTCCCAGTTCCTGAAATCGAGTGCTTCAATCAAAAGTGTGCTTCAGGGGTTAAAGGTGAGCATTTTATTATGGCATTCTCATGGAATGGACTAGGTTTAACCCTTCGGAGAGGCCAGTGAAAACAAAGCAGGATTCCAGGATCTGCTTTCGAAGGCAGAAGTTGATTTCTGAGATGGAGTTGTAATCGTTCACAAAGAGATGTCAAAGTGGTAGCTTTTAGGAGGCACACTGCTCTGTTTTTCTTTGCTAAATCCTTTACATCTTAGAAGCCCATTTTTTCAAGGGAAAGTTTTCAAATGTGATATATGTAGTAGCCCTTGAGAACTGATGTGATTTGGTGTCCCACTTCCGTCAGTTCATTTTCGTACGACTGCTTTGCCAACATGTCGTACCAGTAAGTTCCCAGCATTTCCCCATGGAAAAGCATCCATAAACACCTTCTGTTTCCCCTCCCAGCCAGCTACCAAATTCGGTGGCCGATGGCAGCTGGATCGGCTGGTTCGTCGGCCTCCAGGGCAACGAGTTTCTCTGCCGCGTGCCCGCCGACTACGTGGAGGACAAGTTCAACCTGCTCGGACTGGAGGGCCTGGTGGAGAACTTCCCGATGGCCCACGAGCTGGTCCTCGAGCCGGAGTTCCGCCACTGGGACAGCGGGGTGGACACCACGGACGCGGAGCGGCTGTATGGCCTCATCCACGCCCGCTACATCCTGACGCAACGCGGCGTGGAGGACATGTGCCTCAAGTACGAGCGCGGCGACTTCGGTTCCTGTCCGCGGTTCTACTGCCGGGAGCAGCGGGTCCTGCCCATCGGGCTCTCCGACCAGTGCGGCCAGGCCCACGTGAAGGTCTACTGCCCGCAGTGCACCGACGTCTTCCAGCCCAGATCCCGCTGCGCCCTGCTGGATGGCGCCATGTTCGGCACCGGGTTCCCCCACATGTTCTTCATGCAGCTGCCGGACCTGCGTCCCGATCCGCCCAAGGAGAAGTACGTGGCGCGGTGAGTAGATAGCGATGAGATCTTCTAGACCGTCTACCTACCCCTCTTCCTTTAGTCTGTATGGCTTCCAGATCCACCACAAGACCTTGTGCCCGTCCGAGTCCCCCGAAAGAGAGTCCAAGCACTCGGAATCCCCGGCCGGCAAGCCCACCTTTGGAGCTCTGCCCACTTCCAAGGCCTCCCTCCTTCCTCCGCGTTGCTCCCTGAAGAGCCTGCACCTGTAACTATTCACCAAGGGAAAGCACATTGTTGGTCTGATGTCTTGTTGTTGCAATTACACGGATTCCCCTTGATATCGCCAGATGTTACACCATACCCACACACACCCACACACACCCACACACACCCACACACACCCAAAGATAATCTAAGCTGGCGATATCAACCAATCGAATGAGTAGCGAACCGGAGCGTTGTCATTAAATGTATCAATACTGAAACAAATCTCGGCGGTCCATTCATCCATTTAGAGTGAAGTATTTTGTACTGGGAGAAATCAGTATCGCAATCAAAAAATAATAGAAAATGTCAAGACTCCATATGATAATGGATTTTAAATCTTACACTTATTTTTCCGGGAACTTGCTTGCGAAAATAATGATAGTTTCATTAAGACAAGGAGAATTCTGAGAGATGAAATTAAATTTTTATTTATCTCTGTGTGCCTCGAGTACGCTGGATTGCGCAATCAAAATCCACTTGCCGGCACGACCTGCTAAGCCGATAATGGGAATTACTTGGGGCTGAGGCGTCCGCAAGGACTCGAGTTCCGCGAGCCCCGGCGAAAGGAGTCGGCTCCTGTTCCACGGGCTTCTCCAATAAGTCATGCCTTTATTATTATTTACTGCCGCCCTGCCGCCTTCAGTTTCCACTTTCCGCTTTCCAGCTCCCAGTTTTCAGCTTTCAGTTTTCAGCTTTCCGCGCTTTCCCCGTCGAGTGGAGAATTGTGTGGACAAGCGTTTCTGCTTTTCCTCTGTTCTCGCACTTTTCACACTTAATTTCATTAAGTAATCTTTCATACTGCAGCTTTTATTGAGTTTTAAACTGGCAGACCGTATAATGAGTATGGCGGGCGGAAGGCCGGGGAAATGGAAAAGGGGGCTTCAAAGGAAAGGAAGCGAGCGTTTTGTTTTACATTACAATTGGATGGCAATGTGTTTTCTTATTGTGTGAGTGTGGCGAGTCCTTTGTGGAAGGTCCTTGCAAACTTGTTGATCCCGCCGCCATCATGCATTCATGACTCATGAAACATAAGACTCTCGGACTTGTTTTTAATATCAAGCTTCGCTTCAAGCTTCAATTTCAAGCTGCCATCCTCGAGAGTGCTTTGAATGCTCCCGAATGGATAAACAAATCCGGACGTCGCTCTACTAAACAACGCACTTGCACTCGATTGGATTCCGTTCTTTTGTTGGCAGTGTGTGCGCCGGGAAAAATGTGTTTTCAAGAATGGCCGAATATTTGATTGTATCGCTGTGGGCTCCACAATTTCTATCCGCCAATCCAGTGCCACTGCCCAATTTTTCCAAAAGTTGTTATTCCGAAGCCGCAAAAGCTTACTGCAGAAATATTGTTGTGTGCTCGGTTCGAAAATATTTGGACTCCCTTCGCCGGGCAAACAATAAATACAAATCGAAAGGGGCCTTTACATTTTCTATTTCATGAATGATTCACGGGCAACTGCACAGCACCAAAAATAGTAGTTAGTAGTTAGTAGTTAGGTTTTAGTCCAGTGTGGAAAAGAAAAATGAGCGGGATATGTGAACAATTAGATTTGCGGGCTTTAGTTTTCATTCCCAACTTAAATGGGTTTCAAAATCTATTCTATTATATTTTATTTCAAATTTAATCGTGTTTATTTCCCAATTTCATTCGTGAAACTAACTCATTCCAGCTCGACGCATAATAAAATGGATAGAAATTAACATAGCAAACAGGTCTAGCTATAATTTTATTTGCGTTTCCTATAACAAACCAAACGTAGTTTTGAGTGCAAATTTAAATTAAGATCCATTGTTTGGAGCAGCCTGAACTCGGATTGTAAATTCTTTTTTAGCTCCGCCTTTTGGCATTACTTTTATGCAGTTGACGTCGTTTAGACTTTCCATGATGAACCTAGTTCGGGCTAAGCGATTCAGCAATTTATGGTTAATGACACTAAATTGGTTAACTTTGGCAGGCGGCAAACTTTGCAAAAGTTGCCAAAGGAGAGGAGGACGGCCGCTCCGTTAATTTCGAGCTGAGCGGTCCCAAAGACCACTACAAAGTCCGGGACGCCAGAACAGCAGAACGCTGGCTGATTAACCCGTTGGGACGGACGGCCGAGAAAGAGAACCGCCGTAATTATCATCCTGATGAGATTGGCCGGCAAGGCGGTCACTCCGCAAAAGGTTTTCCGGGGTTCGACAGCCTGGTTAGCAGCGCAAATTAAGTTACTGCGGCCGAGTGCCGGACATGTCTGCCCGGTAATAAGCCAAATGAAAACAAAAATGGATGTCACTCAGTGTCGCAAATTGACGGAGAGCAGGAGGAGGATGAGGAGGAGGAGCCGCTGGCCAAGATGGAGAGCGCAACCCAATAACTTTGGCCACGCATTAATTGGAATTTATGAAGCTGGCCACTTTCCGCCGGAGATTCAGTGCCAAACAAAGCGCGTAATGCGTGGCGGGAGTCACGGGAAAGGTTTACCCATTCCCCGGGAACCCACGACAAATGGCAAAACGGAAAGTGGAAATGGAAAAATGGCTGGCAAAGGAACAGAGATGAGGGGAGGGGAGGGGCAGGAGGGGCAGGGAACTTGTGCGCCAAGTTTAAGTGCTTTTAAAAACCATTAACGTCATTTCCTCGGATGTCTGGCTCCAATCGATGGTGACTCTGGTGGGGATTTCTTTTCTCTACTCTCTATTTGCGAGCATCTTCAGCGAACGGTCAACATCAATACAATAAGCTCTCGAAACGTAAATTTAGGTAATATCGGGTGCGTGGTTACTTGGACTTCTTCTTGGCCACCGGCGGCAGGGACCCGGAGCCCCAGGTTCCCTTGGGATTCGGCACGGGTGCCGGCATGTCGTTGCCCGTTGGAGGTGGCTTCGTCGAGGAGCTGCCCCTCTTTGGTTTTGCTCTAGGTCTCACTGGAGGTTGGGACTTGGGTAGGGGAACCTCCACTGGTTCCTCGGGCTGAGCCGGCTTGGTAGGTCTCGGCTGGGGATCAGCAGCCGGAGGAGATCCCTTCAAGCTGTTGCCAGACGCACTAGCGGATAGCTTGCGCGGGCTCAGGGCCTTGATGACCTTCTCGGCAGCCGCCCGAATGGACTTGGTGTTCTTCACCGGAATCTCCGGCATGGGGGGCAGCTTGATGGACTCCCGGCTGACCCGCCGCTGGCTGTCCAGCGGGTCGTTGTGGACCACCTGCATGGGGCCCGGGCAGGCGCCCACCGTCGGGGGATCCGAGTAGCAGACGTGCCGGGCGTAGTCGAAGGAGTCGCGGCTGTCCGTGGCCGGCATTCCCCGGCGGTGGAAGCAGTTAATCGGGCAGGAGGCCACGCAGGGCGTGTAGGGCTTCTCCACCTCGGCCAGCTTCTTGATCTTCACCGAGTTGCAGTAGATCTGGTGGCGGTCGAGGACCTGCTCCTCGCGGCACATCTCGCGCTGCTCGTACTTGCGGTAGGCCAGCTCCGCCTTGGAGTAGTAGCCCGGCCAGCAGTAGTCGCGCAGCTGGCTCCGGCGCACCATCCGGCCCTCGGGGCGCATGTCCAGCTGGTTCTGGCGCTCGTAGCGCTCCACCGCGGTGGCGATCGGGTAGAGGGGCCGACCCACCTTGCGCGACTCCTCCATGATCTGGACGGCCTGCTCGAAGAACTTCTTGTCGTCCTCGAGGTACGGGTCCTCGTTGCAGGCGGTCAGGTTCATCAGCTCGGCGCGCCGCTTCTCCAGGAACTCGTCCCGCTGCCCGAAGAGCACGGTGCGCAGCTCCTCCTTCACCTTCTCCCGCTTGCGCTTCTGCGAGGCCTCGAAGAAGCGGTTCGCCTCCGCGTTCTTCAGCCGGCGCGCCACGTGGAAGCGCTGCAGCTCCTGCCGCCGCCGCGCCTTCTCCGCGTCCTGCTTGCGCTCCTCCAGCTGGTAGGCCCGCCGCTCCTTGGCCAGCATCTCCCGTTCGCACTGGCGCCGGCCCTCGTCCACCTGCGTCTCGAAGGCGTGCCGCTCCTCGGCGTTCGCCTGCTGCTCCTGCAGCCGCCGCTTCTGCACCTCCTGCGCCCGGCTGACGAGCAGCGCCTGCTCCTCGCGCTCCTGCAGCTGCTTCTGCCGCAGCCGCTTTACGTGGGTCCCGTAGCGGGTGTCCAGGTTGCGCCTGGCCACGATGTACACGCAGTTGCGCCGGTCGTCGATGGCGTCGCAGATACGCTCATCTGCAAAATATTTCATAGTACTCATATTTTATAAGATTATTAAAAAGAGAAACTACTTATCGAATCTGGCAAATGGATATTAAAGAGGGTAAACCAATTATAAAAAAACCTCTTCTACTCACGCTCTGCGATCTCGGCCTTCTCCTGCATGGCTTCCCGACGAGCGGTGCGGTAGAACTCGATCTTCTTGGCCTTCTTCTCCTTGAGGGCCCGCTCCTCCTTGTCCTGCAGGCACTTGTACTGGGCCCGCTCCACTTGGACGTCGAACACCTCCTGCTCGCGCAGCGCCTCCCTGATCTTCGCCCGCTGCGCGATGTCCTGCCGCATGAGCTGGGCGTGCTCGGCGTTCCTGGCGTTCTGCCGGGCCAGCTCCTCCTCCTCGGTGGCGTGGCCGAAGGGCACGAGGGCCGCGGGACACAGCTCCTCGTCGGCCCGCTCCTGGGCGAGGGCCGCCTCGGCGATCTCCGCATTGAGGTCCTCGTTGTACTTCCTCTGGTGGATCATCTCGCTGAGGAGGAGCGCCTGGTGGAGGGCGCGCGGACCGGGCTTCAGCTGGTCCAGCAGGCGGTTGGCCCTGATGATCCGCTGCTTGCGGAGCCGCTCGTCGACCACCTTGGTGTCCACCTCCTTGGAGGCGGCCATCTCCTCCTGCTTCTTGGCCCTGGCCGACTTCTTGACCTTCGGCACATTGGGATCGGTGAACAGGCTGCAGAGCAGGTCGTTGCCGTCCTTCAGGTACTGCCTGTACCGGCGCTCCTCCTCGACGGCCTCCAGCTGGGCGTGCTTCTCGTCCTGGCGGGAGCGCCCCTTGATGGCCGCGAACCGCTTGGCCGAAATCACCACCGGGTGGCGCGTGAAGCGCTTCCTCACGAAGAGTCCATCGGGACCCACTTGCTTGGGCTTGCACCACGCATTCATTTTGGCCGCAGAATCATGTACTGAACTCCACAACTGCCTAGAGAACTGGCTTCTTCCAGTGGTGTGGTATGTATGTAACTTTGTAGCACTCTTTGAATCAAATAAAACTCATTTCTACGACTACTGAGCTGTTACTAATCAACTCTTATTTTATTAAAACAGCGATCAGTAAACCCCTTTGCTGTGCAATGCATACTAAAAGGCTTAACATGATTTACCCTTAATAAATTACATTCCGTTTTTATATACACATTACTCGCAATTGTGAGGTAACCAATTTTATTTTTCAGAAAGTCATTAGCATTATTTTGTAAGCAATTAGGTGAACACATCGTCATGCTAGTTTTACCAATATAAACGTTCGACAGTAACGTTTTGGTTATTGGCAGTTTTTTATTGCCGTTCGATCCACCAGCATGTATTTTAGGATTTTACTCTTTGGCGTATGGGTCATAGTTGCTTTTTTCGTCTGTAGTGTAAGCCAAAGCATTTCACGATTGACTTGATTTCAGACCCGTAACTATTCAACTATTCGTTTCAGGAGGCATACTTCGTTAAAATGACGAATGCAGAGTGTAAGTCATACAACAAGTCTTGGGTCGTCGTTCATTATTGCCGCCTTAAGGCATATTCCCGCAACAAGACCAGTCTGAACATAAATGCAACATTTATGGAGCCAGCTCACAACATTTTTCTCAAAATGAAAATGATGAAGAAGGCCAGTGGGTACAAGCCGTTTCTGTTCGATTACACCTTCGATGCCTGCGAATTTATGAGGCGAAGGAATCAGCCATTCGCCAAGATCATATGGAATTTAATTAAGGATGTGTCCACCGTCAATCATACCTGTCCTTATGTGGTGGGTTAGCTAATTGGGTCCAAACAAACTAATTCTTAGTAATATTACTTTATGTTTTAGGGCCTGCAGATGGTCAGTGATTTTCATCGCATTCAAGTTCCAATTGCATTGCCAGGTGGAGACTACTTACTTTTATTGGACTGGATATTCGATGGTAAACCTCAATTCGCAACAAATGTATATTTCATGTTTGTAGAGGATTTAATACCAAAAAGCTCAAAGCACTGACTGAAAAGCTAGTCGCCAATAAATGGCAACGGTGGTATCAACTTTGATTGGTCTTGTGTACTTTTGAAAGCATTTTAAGGACTTACATATATTCTGAGGAAAGAATTTCTACATTTTTTTTATAATATCTTGATAACTTTCTAAGTGACCCATTAAATATCAAATATGATGAGCAGAGATAAAAATAGAGTTAATCACATTTTCTGATGGCTGTAGGAGAAAATTAAAAGCGTTAATTATGCAGTACAAAGTCATTAGTATATTAATGGTTCAAAATTTTTTTATAATTTTGCATTTCCTGGGCTTCATCATTTTCTATTCAGTCTTCAACTTTGATTGCAGCCCAACAGACATGGACTTGAGGTTTATCATCCCCTTGGCATTCGCAGCTTTTGCCTTTCTTGTCTGTAGTGTAAGAAAACATAAAACCAAAAAACGATAAGAAACTTTTCTATTAATTACAACAGGAGGCTCCCGTTGTAAAAATGACCAATGCCGTCTGCGAGTCGTTTAACAAGTCGTGGGTCGTTTTACATTACTGTCGATTGAAGGCATATTCCAGAAACAAAACCAGCTTGAACATAAACGCAACGTTTATAGAGCCTACTAACAATATATTTGCCCACATAAAATTAATGAAGAAAGCCAACGGATACAAGCCGTTCCTCTACGATATCACTGTTGATGCCTGCGGGTTTATGCGAAGGCCCAATAATCCCGCAGTAAAGATCGTCTGGAACCTTATAAAGCGTGTCTCCACCGTGAACCACACCTGTCCCTATGTGGTGAGATCCCTTCCTATCCAGCCAATCAACTCATGCCATAATTTCTGTTTTCAGGGCTTGCAATTCCTAAGCGATTTTCACAACATTGAAGTCCCGCTTCCACTTCCAGGGGGAGACTACCTGCTCTTGATGGACTGGCTGTTTTATGGTAAGAAGCAGTTCTGCACAAACGTTTACTTCAACATGAAAGAGGATTGGTGAAGCAGTAAGAAACATGTACTACATACTGTAAATTACAAATATACTTCAGTTGGACAATAATCTCTTATTTATTTTGTTTCTGTTTGTCATTAACGTTCTGTGTTAATTATTTCATCGTTAGGCTTTCGTCACCAAATCAATTATTGATTATCGTACCACTTGTTATGTCAGTACAGAAAATGTATTTTTATATCTTTGCAGAGCAAAGGGTATTACAATTTCAGTCAGAAGTTTACAACGCAGTGAAGGAGACACCTCAGACTCCATATAGTATATATATTCCTGATCAGCATTACGATCTGAATCTAAAATCGTCTGTACGTCTGTCCGTCTGTCCGTCCATCTGTCCGTCTGTCCGTTTCTACGCAAACTAGTCTCTCAGTTTTAAACCTATATTGCTGAAACTTTCACAAAATTTGTGTAATTGTTGCACGCAGTATATAAGTCGGAACGGTGCCGGATCGGCCGACTATATCGGATAGCTCCCATACGAGAGAATGAAATAAAAAATTCTCACGCCGTTGTTTTTGATCAGATCGACTTGATTTCTTCCAGATCGCGTTTTCTAACTACTATTGAACTTCGGATTAAATTTTATCAAAATCGGATAACTGTATCAAATAGCTGCCTTAGGAAAGATCGAAAAATATATATAGAAATAATGGGAAAAAAATTATAAAATCGTTGTTTTTAATCCGTCGAGCATGATTTTCAAAATATGGAGCTTTTTAATAACCCTTGAATTGAAAAAAAATTTCATTAAAATACGACAACGTTATCATATAGCTGCAATAGGAAAGATCAAGAAATCTATATAGAAATAATTGAGATCAAATTATAACACCGTTGGTTTTCATCAGACAAGCATGATTTTTGGAATATAGAGTTTTCTTACGACCCTTGAATTAGGAATTAAATTTAATCAAAATCGGACAACTATATCATATAGCTCCCATATGATCTATAGTCAAAAATTTGGAAAATGAATAGAAAAATCGTCTTAGCTTCGATGTTGTTTGGCCTTTATGCATTTTGTTCGACATATTTTATGACTGCAAGGGTATATAAGCTTCGGCTTGCCGAAGATAGCTTCCTTCTATATATTTTCTGATGACTGTTGGATAAAATTAATAGCGTTAATTATGCATTTCAAAGTCATCAGTTTTTTATGGATCAAAAGTTTTAGAATTTTGCATTTCCTGGGCTTAAATTTCATATTTTTCTATTTAGTATTTCACTGTGATTGCAGCCCAACCGCCGGCAGGCGGTTGGCCCTGATGATCCGCTGCTTGCGGAGGCGCTCGTCGACCACCTTGGTGTCCACCTCCTTGGAGGCGGCCATCTCCTCCTGCTTCTTGGCCCTGGCCGACTTCTTGACCTTCGGAACATTGGGATCGGTGAACAGGCTGCAGAGCAGGTCGTTGCCGTCCTTCAGGTACTGCCTGTACCGGCGCTCCTCCTCGACCGCCTCCAGCTGGGCGTGCTTCTCGTCCTGGCGGGAGCGCCCTTTGATGGCCGCAAAGCGCGTGGCCGAAATCACCACCGGGTGCCGCGTGAAGCGCTTCCTCACGAAGAGTCCATCGGGACCCACTTGCTTCGGCTTGCACCACGCATTCATTTTGGCCGCAGAATCATGTACTGAACTCCACAACTGCCTAGAGAACTGGCTTCTTCCAGCGGTGTGGTATGTATGTAACGTTGTAGCACTCTTTGAATCAAATAAAACTCATTTCTACGACTACTGAGCTGTTACTAAACAACTCTTATTTTATTAAAACTTTGCTATGCAACGCATACTAATAGGCTTAACATGATTTACTCTTAATAAATTACATTCCGTTTTTATATACACATTACTCGCAATTGTGAGGTAGCCAATTTTATTTTTCAGAAAGTCATTAGCATTATTTTTTAAGCAATTAGGTGAACACATCGTCATGCTAGTTTTACCAATATAAACGTTCGACAGTAACGTTTTGGTTATTGGCAGTTTTTTATTGCCGTTCGATCCACCAGCATGTATTTTAGGATTTTACTCTTTGGCGTATGGGTCATAGTTGCTTTTTTCGTCTGTAGTGTAAGCCAAAGCTTTTCACGATAGACTTGATTTCAGACCAGTAACTATTCAACCATTCGTTTCAGGAGGCATACTTTGTAAAAATGACGAATGCAAAGTGTAAGTCATACAACAAGTCTTGGGTCGTCGTTCATTATTGCCGCCTAAAGGCATATTCCCGCAATAAGACCAGTCTGAACATAAATGCAACATTTATGGAGCCAGCTAACAACATATTTATCAAAACGAAAATGATGAAAAAAGCCAATGGGTACAAGCCGTTTCTGTTCGATTACACCTTCGATGCCTGCGAATTTATGAGGCGAAGAAATCAGCCCTTCGCCAAGATCATATGGAATTTGATTAAGGATGTGTCCACCGTCAATCATACCTGTCCTTATGTGGTGGGTTACCCAATTGAGTCCAAACAAACTAATTCTTAGTAATCTTATTTGGTGTTTTAGGGCCTGCAGATGGTCAGTGATTTTCATCGTATTCAAGTTCCAATTGCATTGCCAGGTGGAGACTATTTACTCTTAATAGACTGGCTATTCGATGGTAAACCTCAATTCGCAACAAATGTATATTTCATGTTTGTAGAGGATTTAATATAATACCAAAAAGCTCAACGCACTGACTGAAAAGACAAGTCGTCAATAAATAGCAACGATGGTATCAACTTTGATTGCTCTTGTGTACTTTTGAAAGCATTTTAAGGACTTAGGAAAGAATTTTTACATTTTTTTATAATATCTTGATAACGTTCTAAGTGACCCATTAAATATCAAATATGATGAGCAGAGATAAAAACAGAGTTAAAAACATTTTCTAATGACTTTTGGAAAAAATTAATAGCGTTAATTATGCAGCACAAAGTCATCAGTTAACTAATAGATCAATATTTTTAGAATTTTGCATTTAGTGGGCTTTGATTTCATCATTTGCTATTCAGTCTTCAACTTTGATTGCAGCCCAACAGACATGGACTTGAGGTTTATCATCCCCTTGGCATTCGCAGCTTTTGCCTTTTTTGTCTGTAGTGTAAGTTAACCTAATACCAACAACGTTAAGAAACTGTTCTATTAATTACAACAGGAGGCTCCCTTTGTAAAAATGACCAATGTCGACTGCGAGTCGTTTAACAAGTCGTGGGTCGTTTTCCATTACTGTCGACTAAAGGCGTATTCCCGAAACAAAACCAGCTTGAACATTAACTTAACCGTTCTAGAGCCCGTAAATGATATATTTATCAAGTTAAAATTAATGAAGAAAGCCAACGGATACAAGCCGTTCCTCTACGATATCACAATTGATGGCTGCAGGTTTATGCGTAGGCCCAATAATCCCGCAGCAAAAATCGTCTGGAACCTTATAAGGCGTGTCTCCACCGTGAACCATACCTGTCCCTATGTGGTGAGATCCCTTCCTATCCAGCCAATCAGCTCAAGCCATCCCTTCTGTTTTCAGGGCTTGCAGTTCTTGAGCGATTTTCACAGCATTGAACTCCCGCTTCCCCTTCCAGGGGGAGACTACCTGCTCTTGATGGACTATCTGTTTCATGGTAAAAAGCAGCTCTGCACAAACGTTTACTTCAACATGAAAGAGGATTGGTGAAGCAGTAAGAAACCTATACTACATTCATGTATTCTACAAAACTGCAAATATACTTCAGTCCGACAATAATCTTTTATTATTTTGTTTCAGTTTGTCATTAATGTTATGTGTAAATTATTTCGACACCAAATCAATTATTGATTACACTGTGCGACAAAAAAATATTTAAGTTGATTTTTTCTTATTTTTCTCTTCTACTAATCAAAATAAGAATACAAGTTTGTGGATTTGTTAATATCAATAGCCAATCAGCTTCTACGCACACTCAAATGTCCCAAAAACGCGTGTTTTTGCATATTTCACAGCCTTATAATCACATATTGGTAAAATATTTTTTCACCGTTATAAGCGTTAATGCAAGTTCAATATCTATTAATTAAAATGTATTAAGCAAATATACCGTTAGGCTTTTATCACAATGCTTTAAAATTTTTTTCTCCCAGCTCTATACTCTGGGCGACTACGTATGGAACTTGTTACGCGAGGATACCTCTGAAAAAGCCAAAAAAAATCAGAAAAAAATTTCACTTCTAAAAAAAATAATAGTTTATTGGAAGTAAAAAAAAAAATAATATTTTGTGTTAAATATTTTCATAATAATAATTTCATAATATTTATCATAAAAAAGAAATCCTATCACTTAGAAGGTGGCATAAATATTTTTGTGCATAACTTATGCACTTTAACCGAAAACAATCAAAAAAGTAACTTAAACAAAGATTTTGTTAAATTTTGTCGCACAGTGTTATCGTACCACTTGTTATGCCAGTACAGAAAATTTATTTTTATACCTTGCAGAGCAAAGGGTATTATAATTTCAGTCAGAAGTTTACAACGCAGTGAAGGAGACGCCTCAGACTCCATATAGTATATATATTCCTGATCAGCATTACAATCTGAATCCAAATCCGTCTGTTCGTCCATCTGTCCGTTTTTACGCAAACTATATGGGATAGCTCCCAAACGAAAGAATGAAATAAAAAATTGTCACACCGTTGTTTTTGATCAGATCGACTTGATTTCTTCCAGATGGCGTTTTCTAACTACTATTGAATTTCCGATTAAATTTTATCAAAATCGGATAACTCTATCATATAGCTGCCATAGGAAAGATCGAAAAATATAAATAGAATTAATAGAAATAAATTGATAACATCTTTTTTTTTATCCCACAAGCATGATTTTTTAAATATCAAGTTTTTTAACAACTCTAATATTGAGAAAAAAGTTTCATAAAAATTGGACAGCTATATCTTATAGCTACCATAGGAAAGATCGAAAAATCTATATAGAACTAACGGAAATATAATGATAACATCGTTGTTTTTTATTAGATAAGCATGATTTTTGGAATATAGAGTTTTCTTACGACTCTTGAATTACGAATTAAATTTGATCAAAATCGGACAACTATATCATATAGCTCCCATATGATCTATAGTCGAAAATATGGAAAATGAATAGAAAAATCGTCTTAGCTTCGATGTTGTTAGCCTTTATGCATTTTGTTCGACATATTTGATGACTGCAAGGGTATATAAGCTTCGGCTTGCCGAAGATAGCTTCCTTCTATATATTTTCTGATGACTGTTGGATAAAATTAATAGCGTTAATTATGCATTTCAAAGTCATCAGTTTTTTATGGATCAAAAGTTTTAGAATTTTGCATTTCCTGGGCTTAAATTTCATATTTTTCTATTTAGTATTTCACTGTGATTGCAGCCCAACAGCCATGGACTCGAGATACATTTTATCCTTTGGACTCATAGCTTTTGCCTTTCTTGTCTGTAGTGTAAGTTAACCTAATACCAAAAACGTTAAAAAACTAATTATTATTTACAACAGGAGGCTCCCTTTGTAAAAATGACCAATGCCGTCTGCGAGTCGTTTAACAAGTCGTGGGTCGTTTTCCATTACTGTCGACTAAAGGCGTATTCCCGAAACAAAACCAGCTTGAACGTGAACGCAACGTTTATAGAGCCCACTAACAATATATTTGTCAAGTTAAAATTAATGAAGAAAGCCAACGGATACAAGCCGTTCCTCTACGATATCACTGTTGATGCCTGCGGGTTTATGCGAAGGCCCAATAATCCCGCAGTAAAGATCGTCTGGAACCTTATAAGGCGTGTCTCCACCGTGAACCACACCTGTCCCTATGTGGTGAGATCCCTTCCTAACCAGCCAATCAACTTTTGCTAGCCCTTATGCTTTCAGGGCTTGCAAACCGTGAGCGATTTTCACCGCATTGAAGTCCCGCTTCCACTTCCAGGGGGAGACTACCTGCTAAAGATTGACTGGCTATTTTATGGTAAGAAGCAGTTCTGCACAAACGTTTACTTCAACTTGGTAGAGGATTGGTGAAGCAGTAAAAACCTATACTACATTCATTTGTTCGTTAAAACTTTAAATATACTTGGGTCCGACAATAATCTCTTTTTTTTGTTCTGTTTGTCACTAATGTTATGTGTAAATTATTTCATCGTTAGGCTTTTTCCACTAAATCAATTATTGATTATCGTACCCCTTGTTATGTCAGTGCAGCAAATGATATTGTTTAGTTTTCAATTGTGGCTTCGACCCATCAGCCATGAGTTTGAAACTTATTCTGCTTGGAGTGTTCGGGACGGTTTCCCTTTTTATTTGCAGTGTGAGAGTTTATTCAAAGTACGCAAAAGCACAAGCAGTGAAAATTGTAAATCCTTTCTGCAGGAGGCGTACTCTGTTAAACTGACCAATGTCGTCTGCGAGTCGTATAACAAGTCTTGGGTCGTTATTCATTACTGTCGACTGAAGGCGTATTCCCGAAACAAAACCAGCTTGACCATAAACGCAACCTTTATAGAGCCAACTAACAATATATTTATCAAGTTAAAATTAATGAAGAAAGCCAATGGATACAAGCCCTTCCTCTACGATTTCACTTTTGATGCCTGCGAGTTCATGCGAAGACCCTATAATCCCGCCGTAAAGATCATGTGGAACCTTATAAAGCGAGTCTCCACCGTGAACCACACCTGTCCCTATGTGGTGAGATCACTATCTGAAATGTTGTTGGTCCTGGTAACTTTGTGTTCTCTAGGGATTGCAGACGCTGAGCGATTTCTATCAGGTGGATATTCCTCTTCAGCCGCCAACTGGAGACTACTTATTTTTACTGGACTGGATTTTCTATGGAAAGAAGCAGTTCAGTACAAATGTTTATTTTAACTTCAAAGATGACTTGGGAGATTAAGTAAAAGAATGTTCTATATACATACATGATTTTTTGACGAACCTTATCAAAACTTGTATTGACATAATGGCAAAAAACTAATATATACTTATAATATACAGCGAATAGTATAAAAACGAATCGTTAAAATTCCGAACTATATAATGATTTGGTTCACTACCGAAGATAATGTTTATCATAAATTATTATGAGTAACACTTAAATCAACATTAGTGGAACAAATTTTGATTTCCAGTTTTATTCGATGGCCGAAAGAAGATCCATATATCGATCTTATTAGAAATGCAACTTTCTAATAATTTTAAAAAGAAAATCCTTAGAAATTTAACAAAAATGTGTTGATTGTGCAAAATTTTTTTATTTATTCAGTGCAATATTATCTCAATACTTAAGATTTCAAATAACTTTTGTTGAAAATTGTTTACTCTATTAAATTTAATCTAATTCCAAACGTTTCTAATCGCATCGTTGATAAAACTGCATTCGACGTTTTTCATTTTCCGATGGTCGAAATTTCGACCCCTGTTTATGACAGATTTTACCAAGTTTTAAATGGTTTTCAGCTTAGTGACCAAGAACTGTACTTCCCCAACCCATAACTTTGTCAATTTTACTCTGATTTGATAGTTGCAAACATCTAACTGCAAGAGCATATAGCTTCCGTTCATATTTTATCTACAATAAAGAAATTAAAAAAATACCAAATTTAATGCAAATTTTTACCAACTTTCACTGCCATTACTTTCTAGCAAGCTTAGTACAATTTCCACAATTAATTTCGTCCATAAATTGTCTTTGACGGCGGAAAAGCGTTCCGTTGCAGCACATGATACTCTGGCCACCCGCAATTAGATGGACCCCAATTAGCGTTAATCAAATTAGGCAAAAACCTTGGCGGATAAATTCGGGGAGCAGGAGTTCAGGACCAAATGGTGCACAATCCAATTCCCGGCAGGCGTCAAATTAAACAAAAAACTCGGCTGGCCAACAAATGGGAATCAGGAAAGAAAAAGGAAAAGCTGACTTTCATGCGAAAAGTTTTTTCGGCGCTTTCCACGGGTTAGGGGTGGACCCAGTTCTGCACCCGGATCTTTGAGGGGGCGCTGTAGGCGTGGTCAGACGGCAAACACCGGCGATTATTGTTACAAAATGCAGCGGAGCGTGTAATTTTTCGGGAACGAAAGAAACGCAAAAGAATCCACATCCAGATTCGGTTTGAGATTCAAATTGCCAAAGAATCCAGGGGCCCTTGGGAGGGGGGAGCGCGGCTACCGAAAATTGTTTTGCGAAAATTAGTTTTCAAACTTTTCCTGTTCGTTTATCTTGCATTTCTGACGGGCTTTTCCCGTCTTCCCTTCGCCACCGCGTGGCCAAATGAAATCCGGCGCAGTATGCGATATTAATTTGCATTTGGGCCCGGTTGTCATCTGGGGCAGAGGGAATTAAGGAGGCTCGGTGGCACAATAAAAATCAAATTTGAATAATTTTTAATTTATTTAGCCACGCTCCGACCGAATTCGCCAGTGTTTTTGTGTGTAATTGGGATTTCTGTTGTTGTTACTTTTCGGGATCCATTTGTTGGCTTCTCTTTTAAACGGTTTCGTTGTAATTGGCCTGAAATTACCTTTTGAGTGGGCCGAGCAGCGTTTTTTGACGAAGTGGAAAAACAAACTTTATGCAAATGGTTTAGTGATATTTATTTATTTTGATTTAAATCCTTTTTTCGTACTCATGTATACGTCATTGAACATGTCGCGTTTAACTAAAATTAGACGTACTTAAACTGTAAATTTATTTGGTTTTAGCTATTACATTACTTAGCTACAAATTAAAATGATTCAACAATAATGTCCACACCAACCGACTTAAATTCTTGACAATCACAAAGTTAGGATTTAATTTTGATTCGTAGAACAGTGAGTAAATTGGTATACGACTCGAGCTATGGAACTAGATCTATGATTAACCACAACGCTTTAAGGGCCACCAACGTCGGAGACTAGATTGATCCTTAAGTGGAGAGGAAAGGGGGAGGAAGTGCTTCCACTTTGCTAGCGGGATCTGAGAGGAAAGTCTGATATCTCTTTGTTGTACGGGCGTGTAAGCCAACCAGGTTGGCCCAAACCATCGATTACCTATTCTATCGTTAATTTAGCCGATGCACACACACAACAGTTACGATTAATTTATCTATATGCTGCGTTGGGAAAACTAGGGTATCACAAACACTTAATGAACACTTACTATGGCTAACGTCTGGCTAACTTGGCCGAATCCGATTGGAGATCGGGGACTCACAAGGCAGAAGTTTAAAGTAGGAAGGAACAGTCTAGCTAAAGAGATATCAATATTCCGCATACACTTTTACTAAGGATACCAGTTTCACAAATGACGAATGCATTATCAGTAATAAAAGATAAAGATCTAAATTTCGAAGAGAAGCTGAAGTAGAAGGATCTGTTGTGAAACTGGATACCTGCTTACTGGATGCACCCCTTGTGGCATTCCAAGTTCTTAGGCCTACAGGACAACACTCATATTATGATTTGCTCATGCTCGATATTATATAGACACTCACACGCACATACACCTAGGGAACCTTATAGATACTCGCTCTCTCTCTCTCTCTCTCTCTTACTGACTCCCCCATCCTCTTCTAACGGGATCCTGGCGGCTACTTGCGGTACTCGGCCAGCGGGAAGGCCGACTTCTCCGGCGGCGGGCTGTGGCAGGCGGCGCGGATCCGACCGAACCGCAGGCTGCCCGTGTGCGGAGGGCCCCGCATCTTGGCCTGCTGGTGCAGCGGGTGGTGCGAGCACTTGGCCTGGCGCGCCAGTAGCTGGCTCCTGGCCAGGATCACGTCCTCGGCGTACTAGATGTCCGGGATGCTGCGCCCGCAGGCCAGCTGCCCGGCGGACTCCAGCGGCCCCTCCAGGCCGCCGCCCCCGTTGGCCGCCTTGCTCTTGGCGCAGTTGGCGTCGTGGAAGAGGTGCTCGCAGAGCTTCGGCTCCGAGTTGGAGAACTTGCCCAGCTCCGCGGCGGTGGCCGCCTGGCTGCCGCCGAGGTTCAGGTTCAGCTGCAGGTCGCTGGCCTTGCTGAACGAGGTGGTCTGCTGTCCCTGCTGACCCTGCTGGCTCTGCTGGTGGTGCTGCTGCGGCTGGTGCAGCTGGTGGACCAGGTGGTGCGCGTACGGCAGGTGGGGCGGCAGGTGCTTCTGCATGGCGCTCAGGTTGCCCGAGCTGACGGTCCGCTCCAGGATCTCGCCCCAGTACTTCTCGGAGAGGCCCTCGATGTCGGGCCGCGCGGCGGAGAAGGGCTCGGCGGCCGGGTGGCCGTGCAGGCCGCCCATCGTGCCCCGGATGTACTGCGAGGCGCTGCGGCTCAGGCTGTTCGCCCGCGAGCGGCCGCAGATCCCCAGGACGGAGCCGCCAATCGAGCTCGCCACGCCCCCGCCGCCGCCACCGCCCCCGCTGGATGGCGGCCCGCTGGCTGGAGCTCCGGGCGGAGGACGGGAGGATGGCGGCTCCGGGGGAATGGGGAGCGTGGTGATCTCGAAATCGTTGGCATTGATGTGACAACAGCCCGATTTGTGCTCCGGGGTTTCCTCGTGGGGAAAGCACTGAAACGGGAAAGGAAAGCCACCGGGGCATCGTAAATTTCAACTCGCACAAAAATTAATAAGGATTTTAAATTCGCATTTATTCCGGCACAGCACAAGGTTGCCCCATAAATATTCCACAGACTGACCCCGGCCACCCGGAACTAAATCATGCAGCTTGACTGCGCTGCCCGGAATAGAATCAGGATTTCCCCCAAAATGGAAGGGAGTGGAGGGAGGGGGGAGTGGGGATGTAAATGCCGCTTTGGATTTGCTCTTTCATAATTCAAAATCACTTTGCAGGCGAGCCAGACAGCCACAGCCACAGCAGAGCAATTGTTATTTTTGCTGCTGTGTCTGCCGATTGTTTACTTGCCGGAGCCAGTCTGCCAGCTTCCCGGGAATTACACCTTCGGCTACGGATTTATGGTACTTTCGGGTCGGACTGAAGCTGTTTTTGCCTCGCAAACTTTGCGATGTGCAGCCGGAAAGTCCGGGGCTGCAGGATGTGCATTTGGGACTCCTCGGGGAGGTCAATGAATGTGTGGCCCGGCGTTTGAAGTGGAGATAAGCGAATCAATCAATCAGGGCTTATGACAGATTTTCAGCTGGAACAGACAGTGAACATCGCTCCAGATCAGAGATGCTGTAAATAACCCCGGACGGTCCGGGGGATTCGTGCGGAGCAAACTCACTTTGTTGGGCATCAGCTGGCGACTCAGGCGGCGGAAGTCGGAGTTCAGCAGCCAGTACATGAAGGGGTTCCACAGGCTGTTGCTCAGCGCCGTCCAGGTGACCAGGAAGTCGAGGAACGGCGGCAGCTGCAAATCGAAAAGGAGTTAGTTAGGAGTAAGTGTCACAAAGTCACGACTGATGAGCAGGGCGTGGCCGCATTACACATTACGTATGCGCCGCGTGGTACGCGTAAGGCTAAACAACAATCCCATGGAACACTTGCCTTCGATCCGGTGCAGGCAGTGACTATCTCCTGAATGGTCCACGGAGTGACCATCACAATGAAACCGAGGGAGATGGCGGCCATCGAACGGGAGGTGGCTCCGCTCGAGTTCTTCTCCTGGATGGGAACAATCTGTGGGAATAAATAGGAGGAAGTTCAATAGAAGAAAGCAACATCAGGTGAATACAAGTGTGTTGTTCCGTTTTATTTACAACTTAAGTGCTGGGAGCAATTCATTTAACTCATAGTTGTCTAAGCTAAACATTTTAATACTTTCGATTTGGTTCAATAAACAAATTTGATTCTATTAGACCTCTTAAAAGTGAGTTGTAAAAACAATAGAAAGAAATAATGAATAGTAAACAAGAACGTATTTTAACATTTTCTTGTGAAGATGCTGAAAAAATATTAATTAAATTTAACAAGAAACTCAATCAAAAGAAATTTTTAGCAAGAAAAGCTATTTAATTGGATTGCACTAAAATGTTCAAACTATACCTTAGGTTTTTTCTTTTTTCGATTTAACTTTGTGCACTGGCCTAACCTAGGTTTAAACACGAAGAGCTGTCTGCTGGATATATGACCCATGCTGGTGGCTTTAACAATTTGTTTACCGATGCAGCCAAAGCAAATTCTATTTACTGCTAACAAAATCCCCGACGCGCTCGCTTGAACAAACTGTTTCGGGCGGCCACCTGGCCATCTGGCTCACCTTTTTGGTAATCTTGTTTGTCATGTTCGGCATGCCGGCCAGTCCCATGCTCATGGCCATGCTGAGATGGCCCATAACAGGTGGGCCGTGGTGGTGTGGGTGGCTGGGGTGGCCTCCATGGTGGGGGTGGTGCGCGTGGCCGTGGTAGAGGTGCGAGTGCATCCCCGCCTGCTGCTGCTGATGCTGCTGGTGGTGTTGCTGGTGGTGCTGGTGCATCTGGAGCTGCTGGGCGGCGGTGGGATGCGGGTGGGGGTGCGGGTGGTGGGCGGCGGCCGTGAGCGGCATGGTCGGGTCGTTCAGCCGGAAGCGGCTCATGTGGAAGCTGGAGCCGTAGCAGTACATCAGGACCATCGTCGTGGGGAAGTAGAGGGCGCACGTGGACAGGATTCGGTAGGAGGGCTTGCTGTAGAAGGGCTCGCAGGCCATTAGCCCCGTATTGTTGAAGTAGTAACCTGTGCACAAAGGACGTTCGAGAGCTCATTGGCGGCGGAGGCTAATCGCGATGGCCACTCACCTTTGGGCAGCACCAGGAAGCCAAACACCGTCAGGCTGATGATCCAGGTCAGGCTCAGGATGGCCACACAGCCCTGCAAAATGAATTCACAATTAGTGCGGCACATTTCCGACACATGTGCCTTGATTTATGACTGGCCATGGGGTTATAGGCACGTTTCTGCTGCAGCTCTAAAATTGTCAATTATGCGGGGGACTGGCCAACAGAAATAACAATTGGTTTCAGGATATAAGGTAACTCTTAAGGTGTTTATCAAACCGAAAAGTACACAAGACGTGTCACTTAGTAAGTATCTACATTTTAAAATAGTTAAAGTTTGCTCAAAACGTTCTTTCCGCTTCCCTATTTACCCATTTTCCATTTGTTTCACTGCACCTTGTGTCTGACAATCAAGAACGGTTGCCCAAATGGCCATAACCGGAATTAAAAAGTTTTGATTATGCGGAAAGCACTTGGTGAAGGGTGCCGACCACAAAGGGAGGGCGATACTTCCGCTCCTGCAAATGGAGAAGTGCTGTCACAATCGCAACAGACCGAAACAGACTGAGTTACTAAATGCAGAATTGTGACATCGTAAATGGGGAATGTTGTCCTGTCCCTCAACGGTTGCCACCTGCATAAAGTGGGACTGCTTCCATCCCATCCGAACTGCCAAAAAGTGCCGGCAAAAAACAGAGGAAAAACTTTTGTCTGTGTCTCTTTGAAGCGGACCATGGCCGTGATTAATTTAATTTACGCTATTATATTTAAAAGTTTTACCCAGCCAAACAACCAACAGTCAGAGAGGCCAAACAGTTGGGGAACATTTTTGAAATGTAAATATTTTATTAAGCCGCATTGCTGGAGCTCTCAGCAGAACAAACGCCAGTGAAAGATTAATTAATGTGGCATTCCGAAATTGCATTATATTTATTAAAAGTAAGTTGCATAGATGGAATTGCACACTCCGATGGATGTCATAGTTAAGTGCTAAGTTGCGTTAATTTAACTGTGGCGAGTTCATTTTACAACCTCAATGATACACTTACTTATTACTACCGCAAAAAAACATAAATTTTTCAAGACTGCATGCGAATTTATGGCACTTTTAAAAGTAAGCAAAATGAAATCCAAAAGTTCCCGATGCCATTACCAAGTTCCGCCAAGCATTGGTTTTTCTTGCATCTAAGTATTTCACATTCAGCATCCATTTATTAATTTTCGACAGTGCGCACACAATTTTCGCAAATGGGGGCGTGGCAGTGTGCCAACTTCGCCCACTGGCCCGATTTTAAGGCCAGATGCCTGAAAAAATCGAAATGGCGCCGATTTTTGAAGCAGAAAAAATATCGACGCAATTTTATGTAAATTTATTTTCCACTATGGTTATTTCCCACTGCTCCCAATGTTTTATTTTGCCTGATTGTATTTTCTTTTATTAGTTAAGCTACAGTTTTTTCCGAAAGCCCAAAGACAACAAGGAAAATTGAGACTTAATGTGGGAGGGAAATACGAGAACGTTTACTACATATGGAAAAGCTTTAAATCGCTATTTTTATATATTATATATTGGGGAACTATAAATGATCGAAGAATAAACAAATTCACCAGTGTAAATGCTTTTAATAAATCTAAAAGGGCTGTTGATTTAAAATTAATTGAAGCATAATACAAATCTAAGAAGAAGATCTTTAAACATAAGACATAAAAATAAGACATTTTCAAATTTGAAAAAAATGATGTGGGATTTAAAGAGTTTAACGATTGGTCGCTTATTCAAATTTATAGGTAATATTCATTTGGATTTCCGGGACTTATTGAACGTTTTATATATCCCAGTTATTTAGTGACTTTCTTTGCTGCAAGGACATTCGATCTTCGGTGTCCCTAACCACTCCTCGCCGTCTAGCTCTCTTTTTGTTTACACTCCATGGGCCATAAATTACGCTGCTGCGGAATGGGAAATAGAGTTGCTAGCTCGTTTGCTGCTCTTTGGCCCTGCTTGCGGTTTTCGTGGGAGGCGCCGCTTCATTTGCTTGCCTTCGTCCTGGAAAAGGACTTTGCTGTGGTCGTCGCCCTCCGCCGAAGTCATCGCGCGTAAAAAATCCCTAGGCCAACTTTGCCAGCTCCCTTTTTATCCCTATTTTATACACTTTTCGAATGTCTGCTCGGATTCGGATTGGCTGGCGTGTTTTTGTTGGTTTCTGCCAACTTTGCTTTTTCATTCTTCATGGTTCTTTGTTTTGCACTTGCTCCCTGGCGCTTTCCTTCCTCCCACTTTTTGCCGCTTGTTTAATGACTGTCAAGCAGCTTAAAGCCCATTATCCTTATTTATGCTTGCGTAATTGGCTCGCCGACAATATTGTGTAGCTGCTGTCCTCCACCGCTCGTCCCATTGTTAGCGTCGATTTTTATTGGCGCGTGATTTCTTGTAATTACGCCAGCGCTTTGTTTATTGTCCTTGCGCGAGCAAAGGAATAACAAGATTGGGATCGGGAAAGCGTGCCATATCTGAGTGACCCAGAAGCCCAGCTATATCCGACTTGCGATCTTACCTTCTTGCTGGAGTGCTGGTAGTAGCGCCGCGGATGCAGGGCGCACATGTATCTATCGACGGCCATGCAGACCAGGATGACGGCGCTCTGCTGGGAAAGCGCGCCGCGCAGCAGGGCCTGCGGAATGGAAAATGCGGAAAAACCGTGCGTTAGTTATAGTTTAGAAGTTTATTATTTATATTACGGCCCGCCCCGCAAACTTTTCCGCCGGCAGAGCCGAAATGAAAAACTTGTAATGGAATTTTTTCGGCTTGCGAGCTAATATGGGGATTATTAATCGTGGAAATGTGTGGAGCAGCACTGAGTTATGCGCGGCATGCGTGAATGTTTTTCCAATAATCCTGCCTGCCCATAAAACAGGCAAATACTTTTACAGAATAGGTTCTAATGCCGAAATTCTATCAAATTATTAAAATGGCTAGGGCTCAGCCAATAAATTGTTTTCGCTTAGATATATTGTAGGTACTTTTCCCTGTGATACTAATAATAAACGTGCTCTTTGTGAGTTGGTTAATTAACCGAATAACATAACATCACACTTAATCCTGCGCTCACTTGAATGTGTTGACAATATCAGTACACATTGTTCCGGAAGTTAATCGGTTCAGTTCATCGCCGCCGCTTATGCCCTTAATTTCAGTGCATTGTGAAGACAGTTAATTGGCCGCAATGGCAACAACCGCAAACGGGAGCCCCGGTGCTTCACAGCAAAATTAACGTGTTTCCGCCAGCTGACCGACCAACTTGTTGACCCACCTCTTAACCCCTTTTCCCTTCCCGCTTCCCCAATCAGCACTCACCTGTATCTGACAGAAGATCTCTCCGTAGGGCCAGCAGTGGAACAAAGCCGGCATTAGACCGAATGGCGTAATTAACAGCCCGATTGTCAGGTCGTTCAGGGCCAGGGAGGTGAGCAGATAACGAGGCTGTTGTGGATAAACACAGGGTTGGGTAGTAAGCAAGGGTTGCAAAGAGGTGCAAACTCATCCCCCATCCAATCATCCGGCTTGGCCAGCTCAACTCACCTGTTGGTGGATGTAGGCCGCATAGCGGCGATTGTTGATGACGAAGATGACCAGGCAGTTGGCCCCGATGACGCCCAGGGTCAGGACCAGGATGAGCACCGCCTCGATGGTCTCCGCGATCCCGATGTGGGCGATGAAGTTGTGGCCCGAGTAGCGCGGGTGCGAGCAGCTCGAGTTCTTCACGGCGGGAGCCACCAAAAGAGAGCCAGTCTTAAGATCCATTGCAGCGCTGCAATAATAATACAAGAATACAAGAATAAATGAGAAATAATCCTTCTCAGCAAGAAATGGCTGTTTTTCCCCCTATTTGCATCAGGAAACCTCCTTAAATTGTCGGTCGTTGCGGTTTGTTTGCCACATCGACAGCGCCTTTAATTGCTAAAATATTAAATTGATTTTAATAGGCAAACGTTTGCAGGTGATGGAAATATATTTCAAGCTTAAATTGCAATTAAGTTATAATGATTCTTTAAAGTACTGTTGAAATTTCTTAACCTAATATTAAAGCTTCTTAAAAAGAGTTTACCAGCATTATAAATATGCAAGAACGATTTGTATCTGCCTTTTGCCTTTTTTGCCTTCTTTTTTTTCTTGATATCAGTTTAAAATACGATTTTGGCGAGTAAAAATAGCTGTATCTTTCACTGTGTGTCAGACGCGCGGAAAACCCGAGATGGAATTGTCTATGCGCCTGTTTCCCATTCCGTCTCCCGGAAACAAAGGCCCAACGCGCCGTTTCTTTCGGGGATGCCTTCCTTTTCCGCTTCCTTTTCCTTTTCTGCGGCGAGGAATGCAAAGTGCGGACGATTTGTTACGCCGTAATGAAGTCAGCGCATGTGAAGGGAAGCCTCGTTGACGATTTATCAGGCGGAGGGCTCCGAATAGCTGGATAGCTGAGGACGACAGGACTTGTCCTGCGAGCAAACCGCAGCGTTGTCACTCCGCCGAGTGCTCTGCTCTGCATAGACAATGGCGCAACAATGGCCAATATGGCGGCACTTCCGGTCCGGAGGCGACTCCCCGAAAACGCCAGGGTGACATAATGAAAGTTAACAGTATAATTGGATAGGTCCCCGTCGCTGTTCGCGATAAATCAAAACAACGTCACGTTGATATCTCTCTCTCTCACTCTGGCGATCCCTTTGCCAATCTGTGGCGCGGTGAAAAATGTCTTGCAGCGGCGGCAGCCTTCAAAGAGTTTTCCGCTTTCCACGAAGCTCTGTCGCCGGCTGTCTATCCGAATCATTTGTTTGTTGTCGCATCTCTTATTAAGTTTCGCCACGCATACTGCGCCGCGTGGATACAAATACGTATACCATACCACACGACCATATCCCCGAGCTCCGGATTGCGCCTTGATTTATCGTGGCCCGTCCAAAGTCGCCAGCGAGTCGGGACGTCGCCGGCCGCTCGGTTTTATGCTAAGTCCACAAATCACGGCATGATATATAACCGAACGGTCGGCATTAAGGCTAGATTTAGTACGCTAATGTGGCCCGATCCCGGTGGCCGCCAGTCTTAACTTCAGTGCGAGCTTCAGGTTTTTTCATTAACAAAACACCGTGCAGCCGGCAATAAATCCTCCGATCCAACTTTGGCCGAATCAATTAGGATCTGGTTAGTGAGCGGTTGCACCGAAATGTGGAAATGTGGGTGCTGGCTCCGGGCTAAAAAACCAATTTCAATTTCGAAGTAATGAAAAGAGGAAATTCGCTTAATTCCCCGCATTGTTAAGTCTGGCGTAATCGAAGAGTTGCAACTGCGAAACCGAAAACCCGCGCCAGAGACAAAGCGGAGAGCAGGCGAAGGTCCTGGCGGAAAAAAGGATACCGACGGTACCAGACGCAAATGCGAAACCGCGTAATTGTTTTAAAATGCACAGCGAAAACGGCAATAAACGGCAGATCCAACTGGTAAAATGGTAGCTGGTAAAATGGTAACTGGTAACTGGTTACTGGTGACTGGTAACTGGTAACTGGTGACTGGTAACTGGAACCAACTCGGTCACGGGGCAATGCCATTAAAATAAACGAAATTTCCATGGCAAATTTTAGGGACATTCCTCGGGGGGCGGGAGGTCGTGAAATAGTCATCAGGATAGCTCGACCGCAGCTACAGCTCCGTGCTCCCTGCACCCTGCACCCGATTCGATGACACTGCCAAAGACAAATGCAGAATAAATAATTTAGCTGCCGGATTAGAGAGCCGCAATCCGCTTTTGAATTTACACTCAAGTAACTGCCATTAGTGGCGGACTATTGCATCTCATTAGGCGCCACCGCAGATTTGCAGCTGCCACTGCAGTGCAACTGCAACTGCAACTGCAGCGCCGAAATGCAACTGCCAGCAATCAGCATCCATTGTGCATCCGTCCTAATCCGCAGCCAAAGTTATTGCATGTACTTGCCACTGGATTTGGCCGGGATGAAAGTAACAACTTGCAACGCACTCTCGACCGACCAACCGCTTTTTTTTTGTCAACAGCCAAATGGCTAAGAAATATGCAACCGTTTCACGGAGAACTGGGGACCAGGTTAAGTCCCATGCACTGGGAATAATTGGGAGTTAGTGTATGTATGATTATGAAGTATATCAACTCCATTTGAAATCTACTATACTTTTAAAACAGAAACTAAAGTAATTCCATACTTTCTTTGCTTAATAGATATATAGTTAAAGTTATTTATTTTTGAAAGGCTTTTAAATGCCTTCCGATTTTTCGAGCAGTGTGCGTACCCCGAAAAAGGGCACCAGTGCTCAACACCGAAAAGGGACGCCCCCGAAATGGCCGAGCATAAAAAACAATGCCACAGGAGCAGAACTGCAGAAGAGCAGAAGAGCAGAGCGCCAAAGGCCAGAACGGACGCAGGATGCAGGGGACACCGGAAGTGGGAAGTGGGTTGGGGGGCAGGGCCACCAATTCCGCATTCACAGTGCGTTTTGTGCTCCCAAAGGATGCGTGCGTGTGCGTGTGCGTGTGTGAGTGTGTTTGTGCCAGGGTCCTCTGTGCGTGCGTGTTAATGCACGAAACCGTAACGCCAGACTGCGGCAAACAAAAAAAAAAGAAAGAAGAGAGTTAAAGCCAGTCGTCGGGCTGGATGCATTTCATGCACATTTACACTGCGAAACTGGAAAAGTTGCCGAGGGCCCGGTCTTGAGCCAATGCTGACACGCCAGAATGTGTGTGTGTGCATGGCAGCATTTCACATGCAAATTTGCCGGCAAGTATCCACATTTTTTGTGCCAGCTCCCTGGCTTATTTATAAGACCACTCTGCTCGCACATGGGTCGAAGCTGATTGCGTTTGACAAAATGCCCCGGCAGCAGCAGCCGCCCGTTGACTGATTGCCCCGCCCCCAGAACGCCCCCCAGTTTGGGTGCTTAGGCGAGAGATTGTGGCCAAAAGTGGATTCCGGCTGGGAGCTGTGTGCTCAGCTGAAGAGCCAGCCGGACCAAATTGTCTAGTTGAGGAGACAGATTTTCCAAATTGCTCGACATTGTCAAATGGTTTCGCTTAACTAATTTCCCATTGATTGAGCCAAGACACCTGGAGATGCGTTAATTAATCTCCTGCAGATGTCACCGAAAAGTTCAGATTCACCTGCCGCCAACGTGTCGTATACGTGTTGTAATCGGCACTCGTAAAAGTAAATTAATTACGAAATGAGTTTCATAAAGACAAGTGTGTCTCTGTCGTGTCAAGCTGTGTTTACTTTTAAATAACAAGTGATTCCTTAGACTGAAATGCAGACGTTGCCAGGTGGAGTTTGTGAATCATGAATAATTTGCGGGTACTTAAAATATTGAAATCGTAGCAGCGTCGGACTTAAATTAACAATATTGAGGAAGAAACAAATATGATTATTTAAACATGAATTCAATGGCATATCATTTTAAGCCATAATATGCAGGCGGGGATTCTTTTTTAACCCCGCTCGTATGCAAATTGAAAATGGTTTTAAGCACTTCTTTGTGCAGCTTTTCAATGCAACCGAATTAAATCACATTAGCTCTTTTTAATGGTGTTACGTGCCCCAAAACTGGCAGCTGATGCACGCAAAAATCGGAAGCACATTAAATTATTGATTCAGTGATGAGCCAAATAATAAACACTGGAATATTTACGCTGGCAGGGGAGCTACAGATTTGATTGGCATGCAAAAAGGCTTCTTTACAAAAGGCAGCCATCCCGTAAAAAAAATACAAGACACAGGACACATCCACGTATTTAGGGCGGATTCAAAAGTTTCGAAGCCGAAACGCTGCAAACGGAATTTAATAAATACGTGCAAGGCATCTGTAATTTTTATTCGCACTCGCCAAGCTTTTCCGCACTGCCGTATAAGCTAAAAAACTTCCCAAAATAATCACCCGCTTGGCTGCAATTAAAGAGCTCCCGCAGCCATAAAGTGAATCCCCTAAGAACACACACCGAGTGTGTGTGTGTTTTGACTGTGTTTCTGGTCTTCCCGGGCACAACTTTTGCGTTTGCCATGCGTGGTCACGTACACGTGAAAATGGCGTAAATGTTTTAAAAGTTGCATCAAACTTGTTATGAAGTATTTGCCCCGCAAAACGGAAGGAGCAACCCGTGAACCCGTTTCCCATCCCCGCCACCCTCTTGTGCCCCAAAGTCCGCTCGACTTGCCAAGAAATTGCAATGCATGTGCGACCGGCTAAGGAAATTAGCAGCGTTTCTGGGCTTCGAGTAGGTGTTTAGACTTTTTGTGTAAATGGGGGTCATATTAACATTATAAGCTGCCTGTGTATGGTAAGCATTTGAATTTGTATTGAGGAATAATTGGTGAAGATGTAGAAAATGTAAAACATACAAAAATATTTAATCAAACTGTTTCAAAGTTTTCCTAATTTCGGAACTACTTCCAAACTTTTCATTTAGGGCTTTCAATATGTAATTTGAGATGGAGCTCCAACTTAACAAGACATTCTGCTAACCACGCGTCTAAAACTACCATCCTCACATAATTATTCAACGTTTTGCACTGCGCTGCCAGGTTGAAGGGAAAATGCGGAGCGGCTGGGAAAATCGTCAACCACAACGACAGCGCAATGTGCAAACTTATCTCTGGCTCCGGGGATCGGGCTCATGTTAGCTTTCAAGTACGAAACAAGCCGAGTTTCCTGTGCCGGTTTACTTTTGCCAGCCTTTGGCGGCAGGTGCAAACGGTGATGGAAATGGGAAAGTGGGGGAAAACCCATTCGGACGGTGGTGTTCCTCTTTAAGCCACTGCATGCAATTAAAGCTGGCCCTTTGGCGTTTTTTCGAAAATATACTTCCTTTGCCAGACTTTGTGTGTGTCAGGTTATTGCACCGACAACTGAAAGATAAAGTTAATTAATGCCTGAATCGAAGGTAATTTTCCCTTTGCCAATATCTTGGCTGCTATGATGTTAATACCCGTCGCATCCGCGATGTGTTTTCATTAATTGAGGCCGCAGATTGCAAGCTGCACTTGAGATCTTTCTCCTTATTCGCAGGAGGACCTAATGGTGATGTCGCTGGATTTGATTGGCGATATCCTTTCACTTATTCCCCAAGGCCTCGAGTTGGAGGCTTAACGAGCGCGTTTAATTGAGGCTTAATTGGAGAGTAATTAAAATGAAAAATGCCTTAAAGCCAGCGTTCTTTTGTTCGGCGGAACAATGGGGCCTCTACTATACATTCTCGCCACTCACAATGCAAATAGTTTATCCAGCGGACATTCGGCAAGTTGTTGGCGCAATAATTTACAGGCTGTCAATATAAATAATTTTGTAATTGCTTTCGGCATCCTGGCGCTGCGAATTATACTCGTAGTTCATAAATGTGTGCATATGCATTCATCGCCCGACAAATAATGCAGTGTACACTTTAAAATGCTCCCCGACAGATTTGGATCCGGATGACGAATTGGAAAAGTAAGCCGGTGGCAGGCAATCAGTGTCAGATACGCATTTAATTTATTAAATGCCCGAAAGCCGGCTGACGGACAACACTCGCAGCACCCGGCATCGCATCGCTTTTAATCCCGCCCGAAAAGGGCTCAAATGGCACTAATTAAGGGCAGCACATGTTGGATTGGCTGGCAAGATGAATGTCCGCAAAGTGCGGCGCGGGGAAGACCATCAGTCATGCGGATGTGCTGGCCAACAAGAACACGGAATATCGGAGCCGAAAAGTGGGATAAGTCCGGTGGAGTTTACTCAGCAGATCATTTATTCGGGCAGCCGGAATATTTGAACAACCAAGCTGTATCAAAGTATTGCGAACTGTTTATACGGCCAATATTGTTTTAATTATTTGCTATAATTACGAATAGCTGCATTTGTGTAAACACCATTAATAAATGCAGTTTGTAATCGGCTTTGGCTGGTCGCTAGACAAACAGAAACATGTGAACGGTGGCTTTTGTCGTGGCTCTGCAGTGGGCATTTAGTTTTTGGTGGTGCAAAGCGGCTTATGCGTCTGACAAAGGACATTTTCATAATATTCAAGTGGCTTCGTCTGGCCAAACAGCCCTTAACCTTTCGGAATTGTGTTCGTTTGAACGCAATTTCACGACTCATCGCCCGCCAGACGACGGAATATTTGGAATCGCAGCCTTGGGCAATCGAATATTTTCCGCTGACTGCTGATTTTGCGCGACTTAAATCGCGGAACTCTTTAAACACGGCTGGTAATTAAAACGGCAGTCGCTCACACTTCACTGGAGTGGCTGCTATGTAAATGCGCCTCCCTTACATTATTAATAACTCTCGAATATTCATTGAAAGTCAACGAAATTCCGTATGCGCATTCGACTCCGGTCGGATCGAATAAATTAAATGTCAACATGTGTCGAACACGCTGCAATTTGGTCACTTAATCACGTCGCCCGACTTTCCCGACCGACTCCTTGAACTCCTTTGTCAAAATGATGGATGCGACCTTTCAACACGGCCAGTAATCCGATGGTTAAATCCCTCCTCCATCGAACCTCCCTACGAGTCGGCCTGATTCGCCACTTATTTTTTTGGTTGGGAGATCGCATTTGCGTTTAGCGGATTTGGTGCTCAGTGTCAGAAAAACCATAAATATTTGCACCACATTGAATAATGAAACAGCGAGTCACAAACAAAGAGCACATGTTTCTGCAGCTTAAACGGCCGAATACATACGTTAAGCCCCTGGACAAATGCCACTCTGCCCCCGCCCTTGTGGCAACAACAGGTTGAACAAACACGCGCAATTTGAAACTAAAACAATGCCGAACAATGGGCCCTAAAACAAATAAAATTTCATTGTGTGATGTGCCGCTTCCTGTTCCGTGCAACAATGTCACACGCCCTCGCCCTCCCACTGAGTTTTCTAAATTAATTGCCAAACCAAACGGCAACAAGGTATACAATTCAGATCGGGCGTGTGCAAACTATATTTATCGATAGAGTGTCGACATTCAAAGCTGGATTTATATATGGCGGTTTTTGTTGATTTGCCGCTTAAATATTGGCAGACAAATAGATGCAACATAAATTATAGAAAATCATTAAAATATTCTTTATATTACGATTGCTTTCATGCCGTGTCGAATTTAATGAGGAACAACAGAATCAGAAACACAAACCAACAATTAACCGTAAGACGTGTGTAACTTAATTGCCATTATCTTTTAATTTTCCCGTAATCTGTTGCTGCTGAAGGATATTTTTGCCAGGCTGACAGCCAGCGAAATTGGGTTTTAATGAAGCGGCAACGAGACTTGCAAAGAGCCAAAAGCCAAAGACCGGCGAAGATTAATGAGTGCGGCGGGCCCAATTGAGAGGTCACTTCAACCGGACGTCAGCGAGCCCCAAAAACCACCGACAGTCCGGCGGAATATGCAAACGCCGTACTAATTGCCCCTTTGCTTCATTTCTGGATTTGCAATCGCAGCATAAACGGATTAGTTGGTCTTCGTGGCCCTCCCACATTTTCCCCGAAATCAATTTCCACCGCAACGCATTTGGCATAATTGCATGCTATTTAATTTGCAGCTGGACGATGGGAACAGGTCAATTAACTTCCCCAAACACACGCACTTCGAACGGCAACTGGAGAACTGCATTATTCCCCAACACTTTTCCTTATTTTTCTGAGCTTCTGTATGACTATCAATATGAAATCCGAGCCCAGAGTCATGTGTATTTCGTTGATATTGGAGCGGATCCTCATGAATGTGATGTCGTTCGAGGGGTCCAGGTCCCTGACCACATTGCGGGCCATGAAGAGAAGGGGCTTCAGATTGGTCATGTAAAGGTAGGTGCGCCTCTGACTGGAGGTGGATCGCAAAGGAACTCCGTGGTTATCCAGAATTAATACGTCGCGAGCTCCGCGACGGGCGAAGAGGTTGACAAATGCATCCCCATCGTAGGATCTGTCGCGACTGAGGAGGACCAGATATTATATTTTACCATTTAGTATTTATTTATTAAGGTTATAATTATTGCACTTACGGTACTGATTTCTTAGGGGTTGGCTGTGGTATCGCTGTTTTTCGCGCAATTTCTGTTTCTGATTGTCTCGAAATTCTTGACATTTTGCGAGGTTCAAAGCTAGTATGGGGGAATAATGGATTGTCTGTTTCACGCTTATACGATAACTAGTTCGGATTGAAGAATCTCGGCTAGCTATTCCAAATTTGGTTAAAATAAAACTGGGGAAAATTATCCAAATCTATAAAATGGTTCACTATCAGAATCGAGATTACCCCAAATTTCAGTCACTAACAGGGAGACTTTAGATACACTTTGGATACACTTTAGATACACTTGTGATATACTGAAAGCATAAATGCATCGGGGACCATTTATTTGTCACTTCTTTGAAATTTGATTCGAGTACAACAACTGTCTGATTTAAATGGGAATGCGAGTGCGCAAGTAGCTCAGCACCGCCTTGGTTCCCATGGAGAGTATCTGGTGGCGCGGCTGCCGGAAGGGGTTGCCCCACAGCTCCAGCGAGTTGAGCTTCTCCATCCTGCCCAGAACTGGCGGCACCAGCTGGATGTTGTTGTTCTTCAGGTCCAGGTTCTCCAGCTCCCGCAGGCCGCCCAGTCCGGCCTCACTGGCGTCGATGGCCTTGATCTGGTTGTCGTGGGCCAGCAGGGTGCGCAGGCCCTCCAGCTCGTGGATGCAGGGTGGCAGGTGGTGGAAGCGGTTGTGCGAGATGTCCAGCTCCTGGAGCAGGTGCAGTCCGCCCAGCTCCATGGGCAGGTCGGAGAGCAGGTTGCCGGAGAGGTTCAGCACCGAGAGCTTCGAGAACTGCGAGATGTTGGTGGGCAGGAAGCAGATCTGGTTCTTGGTCAGGATCAGGTGGGTGAGCACCTCGCTCAGGCAGTGCAGATCCTTGGGCACCTCTTTCAGCAAGTTGCCGTCCAGCTGCACGAAGTTGACCAGCTCCTGCTGAGCCGCCTCCAGGACCTCCATGGGCACATCGGTGATCTGGGCCTTGGACACCCTAAGGATGCGGGTGTTGCGCATGAGGTACTTGTCCGGAAAGGGCGACTGGGGATCCCCCGCCTCCTCCTTTCCACCCTGCAGCCGTGGGCTGTTCAATCCGTCACGAACCGCAATCATATCGGAGATCCTCTAATGCAGAAAAAGTTACTAAATTCTAGAAAAATACACAACCTTTTGTGTTGCTTCAACTGCTTCAAATATTGAACTGAGAAATATTTAAAACTCCGTCAAAAACTTGATGTTTAACGACAGTGTTTTCAAGGACATTTTGATTAAAGTATGATTCAACTTAGATAATATTGATAATTAGGGAATACTTAATGTTACTTTTTGGATTGCTTAGAATTAGATGCACACTTTTTATTCGGACAAATCAGTTGTATCTGGGGTCTACAAAGAATTTACGACTCAGAGCACGCCGCAGTCCGTCAGCGAGATCATGTTGTGGGCCATGGGCAGGTGGCCGATGGCGCTCTGGATCCTCTCCAGGAGCTGCATGCCCTTGCGGACCTTTCCGAAGGCGACGCGCCGCCCGTTGAGGATGGAGAGCGGCTTGAAGCTGATGGTGAAGTTGACCGCCGTGCGGCCGTTCGACCTGACGTAGCGACTCGGGAAGGAGAGGATGCCGGCGTCCACGCCGTGGTTGAGCACCTCGAGGTCGTGCTCGATGTTGGTTGGCTCGGAGCCGCGCTGCGGGTCCATGGTCAGGCGGCCCTCCATCCAGACGGGGGCGAGGGCGCGGGTGAAGACGATGGCGTGGCTGCGGCCCTGCGTGCAGATCCTCATGAATTCGAGCACCACCTGGGGACAGGCCTCCGTGAAGAGCTGGATGAGCAGCCGGCCCTGGATGCGGGCCTCCCGCACCTCGAGGTCCAGGTAGATCTGGGGGCGCAGCAGCTTGCAGAGCAGCCCCACGTCGCACTGCTCCATGAGCTGCTCGTAGCGATGGAGCACGTGCAGTGGGATCTCGCAGCTGAAGGGGCCCGCCGCCTTGGGCCTGTACCGGCCGGACTTGCCCGCCTGCGGATCGAAGAGCTCGCCGCCCTTGTGGAACTCCTTGTTGCGCTCCAGCTGGCGGCGCTCCTTCTCGCGCGCCAAGCTCGCGTTGTTCCACCTGCCGGCGGCCAGACGCTCCGGCGACTTGGTGAACGTGCGCAGCGTGTTGTTGCTCTTCTTGTAGAGGGCGGTCAGCATCTCCATGTAGGAGAGCTCCATGCCGTTGCCCTCGATCTGCACCTTGGGCGGCGGCAGGTGGGTGTTCACCTTGCCCTTGATCTTGGACATGCGGTCGCGGTGCTGGCGGTACAGCTCCCGCTGCTCGTTCATCACCATGTGGGAGCGGGTCTGGGGCATCGGGCGCCGGCAGGCGGGCACGGGGATGAGGCGCTGGTGGTGCCGGTGGTTGTTGGCCAGCGCCTGCTTCTGCACGTTGAAAGTGTGCCGGGGCCCGGGCTCCTCCACCTGGCCGTCGAGGCCCACCAGGTGGGGGTTGTGGCTGTGGAACACCGGGTTGGTCATCGTGAAGGGTCCCCGCTTCACCGAGGCCACGTAGGGGGTCATCGAGCTGGGGATCTGGGGGATGCTCCGCTCCCTCGGGTTGCGCGACACGTCCCCGCGGATAAACATCGTGGTGTGAATTGTACACTTGAATTTTAAACTGCTTAAGCTGGCTTCAGGCTTCAAACGACCTTTTGCGGCTGGATAAAACCTTTGACTGACGGGATTCTCGGGGCAGGGTCGAGTCAACTGGCACCGCCCACCTGGATGATCGGAAAGCAGGCTAGACCGACGCACGAGCCCACATAATTATCTCTCTAATGCTAATTTCATTAACTGAAACAAAAAAACGGCCAAACATAATAAAATGGCCACGCACTCTTTGATGTGGAAAACAACATGAAATTGCGCATTTTTGCATCAATTATTTATCTGAAGTACACACTGCTCGAGGGCCGTGAATCATAAAGTTCAATTTAATTATTTTCAACTATTTTTAACACTGCGGTAGGCCCATAAATGCAAACGTGTACTCTCGTAATTAGTGATTTAATTAAAATCTGCACGTCATTAAAACCGAGATATTTGCACAGTTGAACCGAAAATTTATATTGTTTCCTGGGATAGAATTCGGCTAGTTAGCAATTTACAACCGATTATTGTCGAGTCCTATCCTAAATATATTGTATATAGTATTTCAACCATTAACTGCCCATTTAACCAATCCGAATTCGATTTCACTCTTTTGACTCCTAATGGGGCATAAAATGGTTTTGACAGTTTTTGTCATTGGCAATTTGAGCTTTTGTAAATCCGTCGAGCTGATAATAAAATGGACAATTAGCGACCATAACACTCGAATAATTCTGTGGCACAGTTTGGATAAATGGCGGAAACACATTCAGTGTTAAAGTGACACTAGCACTAATTATTACAAGCTTGTGTCCCACTTTTCCGGCCCACGTTTTTTAAATAATTAAGCAAGCATAAAATCTAATAAATCACGCATTTAATTTACGCTTCTTTTTTCAATTGCGAGCTGTATTAAATCAATGGATTAAATGATATCAATAACATATGGATCCCACATTCAGATGGCGGTAAAAAACCTATTCGAATAGCATTAATTGATTGTTAATATGGTAGGGCTTTTGCGGTCACAATTAAATGATTAATGCGATTGTGTGCGGTGTAAGGACTTTGGAGCTGCCGGCCAGCATGAATTAAAGATAAACGAACTGCGAGGAATAAGCACGTATATATGCACTAGTCGGGATTATCTGATGCATTAATGGTCTCCACTCAGCCGATTATGAGGACATCAACTGAAGGACATCCCTCAGAAGGCAAAGAGTGCCGGGGCAAAGTGTCATTAGGGCAACGCTCTTATCGCTCAACAATCAACGTCAACGTGGGCGGATGGTGGGTTGGGTGGTACGGGTGGTGCGGGTGGTCTGGGCCAGAGACATTGAACCACTTAAGCTTTTTTTGTTCTCAAGTGTCACCCCCACACGGATGCATCAGTGCTCGTATCATCATCCACTCTTCCCAGCTCCCAGTTCCCATTCCCATTCCCACACTCATTCTCATTCTCATTCTCATTCCCATTCCTCTGATCCTTGTCCTTCTCAACTTTCACCTCGACGACGTGTTTTGTACTTTCTCTAGTGCCCTGGCATTCATATTTGATATTCATTTTCCAGGGTGCATCTTAAAAATGTGTCAACAATAAACCCACAGACACATCCGTGCGGACAAGTGACTGCAATTCGATCGAATGCATGTGCGTTGCAGCCGAGCTATTTTATTTATTTAGCCCACAGCGCCCTGTGACAAAAATTCCGCCCGGAATGCCTGACATCTTCAATAAACCACCGTTCGCATTTCCACATTGGAATTTCCGAGGGCTGGTTATATTTGAAATCCCCCGATCAGCCGAGTGGAATATGTTTAAAGCGCACTTGGTTGGGAATCCATATTATCATTTATTTATAAAAGCACAAAAGCATACATCTATCTTCCTACCTTTAAGGTCCAGATTTATGTTTATGAGCTCTTAGGACTCGGCATGAAATGCAATAAAACTGCAGCATTATTAGGCAAATCAAAATCAGAAATACACCAAATCCACATTTCTTTGTGAAACATAATCTGACCTTGTGGCCAACGCCCGCATATTCCCCTATTATTCCCGCAGACATTTTTTTATGGGCGAAGACAAAAGCCGGAGCCTTTAGTTAAGAGCATAATGGATCATAAATGCTTTGGCTGCGAAATGTGATTTTATTTTGTCTGGTCTGACGCGTCCCCTGCCTCCATTATCCCGGCATCTGGCTTATGGAACCTGTCTTATTGCTGCCCCGACTCCCGGATTATATATACATACGAGCAGGAGTATCCTCTCTGGTTGGATGTGTGCATGGCACAAGTGTGTATTTTTATGACACTCTGCTCTGGCTCGGCACTTTGTGTTTGTCATATTTTCTTACCGACGAGATGTCGGGGAAAAGCCAGAGGAGAATACGGGAAGGCCGGGTAAATTTCGGTGAAGCAGGGAAAGTCATGTACTATATATGGAGTATGTAAGTATTTGAGCAGGGATTTGGCTAGGGAGAACCAAGGGTTTACCACGGATAGTGCAGGAAAATTAAAAACTCTGCATCCATCCTGCTGGTAGGAGCACTTGATACTTGATACACGTCGTTTGACTAAGACTTTAGAGCGATTTCCATTCATCCCATTTAATCAGCTCTAATTGGCCCACTGCCTCCGCTTAAATGCCATCAATTTCGGTGGCATGTTTCCCTATCCGTTGAGTCTTTGAGTGTCTGAATTGGCTGAGCCCCAAAGCCATCAGTTAATTAATACAATTAATGACTTAGCCAGCTCTCGAAACCAGCAATCACCCGAGTCGACGACGAACGGGGCAAAGGATTATATCAGTTAGCGAGCAGGCTTAATTAACAATAAGCTAAGGTGTTAATAGCCCGACGACAGCAACCCAAAAGTTCGGTTCCCGCCCATAAATGTCACCCAACAAAATATTTAATCCCATTCCGAGACGAGAGTGGAGGCAGTGAACCGAGAGCCAGGTCCCCACACATTAAAAATCCATTTCAAAGGCTTAGGTTTTGGGCTAACAGACCTTCCCCTTTCCCTCGTCTCTCCTGCCTTCCCCATTGGCCAACTCACCTGAAAGTTGCTTACCTTTGGGTAACAACACGAAAGCAGCCAAAGCCAAAAAGGTAAACGTGAAAAAGTTGTCGTGCCAAAGATGAAAATGCTGAGATACATTTTTAAGTATCCATGTAATCCCCCTAACAATTTATTAGCCAAGGGCGCAGTCGAATAGGAGAAGCCAATTAGGTTAATGTGTCGAAGGGAATTGACTGGCTTTTAAACCTTTTAAATAATTTCCGAAAATTGTGCCCTTAATTAAATGTTTCCAGGCAGAAGCCTGGCCTTCCAGTTCCTTCCAGTTTGTCATTCTTTTAAGTTTAAAGGGACTTCAGAGGGTTGCTATAGAAATGCTTAATTGAACGTGCAGAAAGAGCGGCGAACTTCATTGGTTCGGCTGCAACTGCTGAGCCAAAACCATTTAAATGCTGACATCTGGGGAATCTGGAAACGTGGAAACGTGGGGGAACAATTTAGATTGCTGGAACTTTTGCCCCGCCCCTTGCCGACCGCCTTTTGCTCCTGCAATTTTCCGGCAAACTGCTCGTGGCGGGGGGCAAACACGAGTGTTCCTGAGACACTCACAAAGGGCCTGGCACGCTCACAGCAACCGGGCTTACATGCGTTTTCGTTCTCCTGCTCGTTCTCGTTCTCAGCGAGGAAAATGGCCACAGAGTTGGCTCTGAAAAGCCATTTATCAAGACATTGCATAACAATGGCGCCCTGCGCCCGGCCATAAAGGATATTCAGAGCGAGTTGAGCTTTATGATTTGAACACGTGTTAACAACACATAAAGGCAAGCAGCGATTTCGCCGGAGGCAAAGCGAGCAGATTCCACCTAAATAACACTGAATCCTAGATGGATTTAGTGAACCAGAAATAACTGAATCGCAGCCGTCCAGAGACTCGAAGTGTAAAATAAATAAATGTTTTTCTTGCGTCCAAGGCAAACACCGTTCTGTTCGCACTGCCTTCATAATTTTCACCGCAGCCAGCAAACATAATAACTTCTGAATGGCTGGAAATATTGCCCCTGGGCATGCGCCTCAGTGCAGCTCGCAAATTGCACGGATCATAAATTAAAATCAAGAGCGAACAGTCCAGGAACCGCATTATTTGCCAACTTAACCGGGGGATGGGGCGACTTAACCTTAAGACATAACTCATCCTGTCCTCTAACATTCAGGGTTATGGTAAATCATTTCCCCAAAGCAAATAACTAAATAGACTGGCTGTTTGTGATGAAAGAGCTTGTTTTGCTCCATTATCTCGGATGGCAGGCCACAGCTTTTTCTTGATTTATTAAACATGGTGAAGATTCCATTAAAATTCTCTCTACTTCTGATTTGAATAGTTTGGCTAAAAGTTATATTCCTTTTTTAAAAGTACTTGTTTTTAGTTCCTAAATACCCACCTTGTTCTCCCCGAAGACAATCTCCCCAGCCTGTTGCATACTTCCGCAGGAAAGTAATATACCCATCGAGGTAACGAGTACCGGGTAAAAAACACACACGTGGTGGAAAGTCGAGTGCATGCCGGAGCGGCTGGGATGAAAAGCCGGGCCGAGGAAAAGTGGAAGCTGACTGCCACAAAGCAGCTGTAAAATAGTTTTAATATCCGCCGGCAAGTTGCATTGTGTTTGTGGCTGGTGGCTTGTTTCTCTCGCATCTTGCTCTCCACTTCGCTCATTTCCAAGCCTTCCCAGTGGGGGTTCTCCATGGCTCCCCCTGGCTTCCCAGATTGTCACCTGCTTTTGGTAGCTGCCAGCTGTGTGATTGCACATTCATAACATTTCCTATCAGCCCCTCGCTTTGTGAGCCATGTTGCCGGGGCCTTTGAATTGAAGCTCGTTTCTAGCATTTGGCTTGCGGAAATTTGAACCTCGGCAAATCAAAGCGCTCCCGTCTCCCCCGCCCCCCAGTTCCGTCACAAAGTGTCTGTCACTAAATAAACTTTGATTTATTTATGCACACTTTGCACTCGAAACGGCCGCAGGCACTCGGAAAAATGTCCTTTCAGTCCGGACGAATATTTTGTGGCTCAGGTCTTTAGCGTCTACTTCTCACTTGCAACTTTTC